GCCTTCCCCGTCATGAGCCAAGATGGGTGAGTCCATGAATGCTAAGTGACAGGGTGACGTAGATCCCTCAGGAATTTCTAATCCAGATTTTGTTGGATAAAAAGCTGATTTTCTATCGGCGGCTAATGCAGGAAATAGGGGTAGGAGACTATTTTCATGTTCAGCCTGCATGTTTAACTCTGAGTGACCGATTATAATCAGAAAACATGAATATTTTTTCAATGGACTTGGTTTTTAATGCTTTCATATCTCTAAGAGGTGCTGCTCTTGTCCTTCTGCTTGAACAAGTCCATTAAGCACCCAGAAGCACCAGTAAAACACCAGAACACATCAGTGTAAACCAGCATGCCTCCTTGTCCAGAGATAAGGGGACACTTTGGTGTTTGTTGCAGCGCACCTTTCGGATTCAGAGTAATAAATATACAGTCGTTCAGCCGTGCAAGAGCATTGCTGCAGGAGGAGAAGACAGATGGCTCAGTCAGCAGGTAGAAACCAGGAGGCAACAGATAAAATCTGCTTTTTTAAAGAAGCAGGCCTACTGTACAGTTTAAAGATTTCAACCTTTTCATCTCCAGTAGTTTTTAAAAAGCAGAAGGTGGTTTAAGAAGGTGTCTGTGCAACTCTAAGGAGGACAATGTGGATGTCATTAGAGGAGATGCCAGGAGACCCCCCTCCCGCCCAAATCCCTCCTTCCTCCTTTCCTCCATCCTGACAGAATATAAATCACTCGGGTCACCGTCCTAATCCCTATCATTTATTAATGTGTGCTTTTCATCTGTGAGAGCTGCACATGCAGGCAGGCTGGTGTCCAGGGAGGAGTGTGTGTGCATTAGCATATATCTCTGTCCGTGTGTGTGTGTGTGTGTGTCAGAGGGATGCTGTAGCATGCACATTGTCATGTTAATGCAGGGCTACAAATTAAACCAGGACCTGTCAGGGTTTATTGAATTTAATGACTTCCAATTAGGAATGTGTTGCTCCGTATGTTCTGGGTGGAGGAACAAGCCCAATGAATAAAATATATAAAAGGTTCTACATATGCATTCTGAGATGTGCTCTTTACTTTGTTTATGCGCGTGGGCCAAAAAATAAGTGACTGGAAGTGACCTTCTCTTTGTCATCACTTCCTTCTCTGTGCATTTTCTAAGGATATTGGTTTCCATGGTGATGTGTTTCATGCCCGGGATGCCCTCAGGCCCTTTTCTAAATATTTTAAAGACAAAAAAAGCTAAATCTGTTCAAATGAGCTCCAAGGAAGATTAAATATATAATAAACAAATATTTGTAGTTACTTTATTGAAATTATCAGAACAGAAACCTCATGAGCTTAACCAGCACTGGTTTCTTTGTGTGTGGTGTGCATGCATGCATGCCTGTGGACGTATGTGTGTGTGTGTGTGTGTGTATGTGGGACTGTGTGTATACATGTCACTCCACATTGATTTATCCTGTCTAACAGGGCTGAGTAATTCACTGAGGGTTTCAGAGGAAGCCATAACCAATAAAGTCTTTGAGCTGAGTGGCCTCTCGGGCTGCTGCTGTTATTTGAAAAGCTCCTCTGAGTTTTGTGCTTTTGACAAGACACAAAGGCTCGGTTTTGACATCATGAAACAAGACTGTTAAAACCTCTGTTTGCTTTATGTTAGTCACCAGTGTTTCACGTAATGGTCAGATTACTTCCATTAAATGATGCTTTTGTATTTCTGATAGATGTGGTTAAAATATCATAAAACGCACATTTAAGTTACACTAAATACATTTTCCACTCCTTCCTACTGGTTGAAAGCAGAATTACAAACAACTCTGCCACAGCCTGCTGTAGCTAGGGCTAACCACAGACATATATACATAGACGTCCCATGGACTAGCGCTGCCTATTGAAGCTGCCGTAGTGGCTGGTCGCCATCTTAGATGGGTCTCCATTTGCCGCCTTCCGAATGAGGAAGGAGCTGACCAACTAAAAAACACAATCTATCAAGTTTTTTCTCAAAATCAGACACAGGGAATGGCATGGTAATTTAAATATGAATATAACAAAACTAAATAAATAAAAATATAAAATCCATTCAGGTAGACATAAAAGCCAAAAGTATTCCCAAGTGATTTGTTTTCAATGGTGCGCTGGTTGTTTGGTAATGACTGTGTGAATGACTGTGGAGGGTGAGGAGACCCATACAATATGGCGGCGACATTGTTACGCTCTCCAGCGCCTAATGGGGCGTCTATGTTTTCATGTCTATGGGGCTAACAATGAGCTAACGCTAACATGAGCCAACTGATACAAAAATAGGCCATGAATTTAAGAGTAGCTTTGTTGGCTCCTACAAACTAGTGTAGTGTGCGCGGATGTTCTCTTTGGTTTTAGCTCTTTACTCCACCACCAATGACATTCTCTCTTAATTTTACTTCCAGGCTCCGCCACGATGCCAACAAAAAAGTGGCAATTTTCTTCTTTTTGTACGTTTTAGACTGTTAGGGAACTGAAAAAGCTAACTGCTAGCTTTTATATTAGCTACTGACAAAGTAAGCAGCTAATGCTATTAGGCAGGTAGAGACCTCCCCCTAGTGTACCTTCCCACACCACAAAACCTTTAAGAGTGGTTTCTGGTCAGCAGATGATTTCAGACTGTTGTCCGATGTGAAGTTGCTCAAGGTCAATGACGACTACAGACCATTTGCCCTGACATCCCACATCATGAAGGTCCTGAGCTCCTGTTGGTCCACCTGAATAAGCAAACTAGAACATATCAGGACCCGCTGCAGTTTGCTTATCGCCATGGAGTTGGAGTTGAAGATGCCATCATCCAGCTGCTTCAACCAATCCACTGTCATCTGGACAAAGCAGGCAGCACTGTCAGGGTCATGTTCTTTGATTTCTCCAGTGCATTTAACACAATCCAGCCCGATGTACTTTGCCAGAAACTCCAGAAGACACAGGTGGGGGCCTCAACTATCGCCTGGATTAAAGACTACCTGACCAACAGACCACAGTTTGTGAGGCTGAAGAACTGCACGTCAAACCAGGTGATCAGTAACATTGGAGCACCACAGGGGATTGTACTCTCACCATTCTTTTTCACCCTGTACACCTCAGACTTCCAGTACAAATCAGAGACCTGTCATTTACAGAAATACTCAGATGACTCTGCAGTTGTCGGGTGTATCAGAGATGGACAGGAAGCTGAGTACAGAGAGCTGGTGGAGCGCTTTGTGGCACGGTGTGGAAACAGTCATCTGACCTTGAACGTGAACAAAACAAAGGAGATAATTTTAGACTTCAGAAGAAACAGGGTTGAGTCAAACACTGTTTCCATCATGGGAGAAGTGGAGGTGGTTGAGCAATACAAATACCTTGGAGTTCACCTGAACAACAGACTGGACTGGAGAAAGAACAGTGAAGCCGTTTACAAGAAGGGACACAGCAGACTGCACTTCTCAAGGATGCTTAGGTCCTTCAATGTCTGTAGCAAGATGCTGCAGATCTTCTACAAGTCTGTTGTTGAGAGTGTAATCTCTTCAGCCATCATCTGTTGGGGTAGCAGCATCAGAAGCAGGGACCTGAAAAGGCTCAACAGCCTAATAAAAAAGGCTGGTTCTGTTCTGGGGACAACTGTGGAACCACTGGAGGAGATCATGCAAAGAAGGATTCTCCAGAGAATCAAGAAAATGATGGACAACCCTGAGCATTCTCTTCACAAGACTGTCCGACAACGGAAGAGTGTCTTCAGTCAGAGGCTTCTTCATTTTCGCTGCAACACTGACCGCTATTAGAGATCCTTCCTGCCAACAGCCATTGTAATATACAATAACTCTTTGATGAGTTGATTATTATTATTATTCTGAGCTACTACAGCAATCAATTTCCCTCTGGGATTAATAAAGTATTTTTGAATCGAATTGAATTGAAGTTATGTTTGAAGAACCACTGAAACTAGTTTGAAAGCAAGAGCATAAAGTGTTAAAAAGTCTTTAGTGCTTCCTTGAACAAACAACAGCTACAAAGAGCTTTCTTGTCTTTCTTTCTACAATCAAAACCTTTTCCTTTGTCCTGCAGAGTATTAATTGTCAAAAAGAATAAACAAATTTTTAAAAAGTCCATTAAATGAGGTCAATAAAGTTTAGGCTAGTTGCATAAATATACTATTTGATAAGACCCACATTTACTTTATAATAACCACTTTTAATCCCGTTAAAGCTTCACATATACTCAAATGCCTTTTAATGGTTTATTCCCAATATGGTGGGATCCCAGTGGGTGTCAAAAAGAAAAAGATATATTCAAAATTAACCCATTTGGAATCACTGATTTGGTAGTAACCAGTTTCAACCAAATAAGGCCCCACTTCCATGATTCCAGCCAGAGGACTTCCTTTTAGCCCTGTTAGCAAAACATTATGTCACAATGCTTTTACTGTTAAATGACAATTTTATCATTATTTTTATGGTTTATTTTTTAAACTGTGTTAGGGAACAATTCAGCCTTGCTACTTCTTTATGTTAAAACCTAAAATAGCCCTGAAAAGAAAAAAAAATTGCTTTAGCTAATGATTAGCTGCATCATGCTAACATGTGTTAGCAATGCTAACATCCTGCCACACCAGAGAGTTAACCTAATCAACTCACTGTTAAGTTATGTAAATAAAATTTAACTTAACTTCATCACCAAGTAAATGCATCCTTATTTTTATGATTAAACACTAAAGCGATCAGGCTGATGGTGTGTCACATCGAAAACGGCCCGGGTGGAAACAATTCTCCTATTTCTGTCCTTCTTTTAAATAAAATAGGACAATTCTAGTCTTGCAGCTTTGGCAGGTCATCAAACACATTCAAATCCTGCACAATTTTTAATCTTTGAAGCCCCAACATCTGCTCAAAAGACAATCTAAAGTGGCCTGAAGAGACAGGAACAACTTGAATGTGACACATACAAATTGTGATGATCAACATCAGGGGTAAAAAAGTGATGAACCTCCTATCTGGTTGTCTGTTTGTCTCAGGGTTTATTCCCAGGGAACTTGCACTTGGTTCTGGTGTTGCGTCCCGCTACTCTGTTCCAGCGGGCTCTCTCGGACTTCCTGTTCAAGTTCAACAAGGATGAGTTCAAAATGAAGGTAGCCACTCACATCCTCTTTTCCAGTTTCCACAATTGTTTCTGTTTCACTTTAATAAAACTGGCCATGATGATTGTGTTTGTGTCAGGTGGTGATGCTGAGTTCGGTGACAGAGCTCCATGCTTACATCGACCCTGGACAGCTGACCACAGACCTTGGAGGCACTCAAGACTATCACCACGAAAGCTGGATCTCACATCGCACGGTACGTAAACACGATTTTTAGATTTTTCTAGTTCACTTCATGTTTTATTTAAGTTACAGTTTGGGATGTTTTCTTCAGGCCATTGAGGCATTTGCCCTAATGGTAAAAACCACAGCTCAGACCCTGCAAGCGTTTGGAACCGAACTCGCCGAGACAGAGTTGCCCAACGACGACGAGGCCACCACCAACCTGCTGCACACACACACCCAGAAGAAAGACAAAATGACAGAGGACCTGCAGGTGGCGCTGTCTCAGGGAAAACAACTGCTGGCGTACATAAATGAACCCCTGGACACGGATCCTGAGTACAGCATGACGCAGGATGAAATGGAGAACTTAGCAACTATACAGAGGTACAAACAAAACACCATTAAGGAAAAACTTAGCCTAAGTTAAACGGATGAATAAATCTCTGATCTCCACCGCTCAGACTTCTAGGTCAGCTGGATGAAACAGAAGCAGCGTTTGATGACTTTTGGGAGCGTCACAGCACCAAACTGGAGCAGTGCCTGCAGCTACGCCACTTTGAAAAGCACTTCCGTGAAGTTAGTTGAACCTCAGTCGCAGAAAACATCATTATTCATCTACCTCACATCTAAAAATACAACACATTATCCATCCTTTGTGCTTCTCAGGTGCGCGGCCAGCTTGACACAACGCTGGAGCGGTTGTCGGGCTTTTCTGAAGTCAGCATAAGCCCCGCCCACGCCGAGTACATCCTCAGAGAGCTCAGCAGCCACGAGGGCAAGGCTTGTGTAAGACACTTCCAAAAACACACACTCAGGTGCATCGTTGAGGCTGTTCAGCTGATGATGAACACTTTACTCACTGTGGTATGAATGGAATGTGTGTAGAAAAAAATAAACTTCAATGTTTGCAAAAATCCCACGAGCGTCTGGCTAGATGGTTTTAATGATGCTCTCAGATGTAAGACTACAACTGGTTCACTTACAGAGTCAAGCCGATCAAAGATGGCCGCCACAACTATTAGACATATGGGAGCCAAGTCAAGGCCCCTGGCCTTGCAAGGCGATGTCTTGCGAGGCCAGGCGCCTTGCTTAGGAGGACACTGTCCTTCCTCGGTCAAAGAAAATGGTTAAATGGAACAGACTTGCATCATGTGACCGTGGCGGTCACGTAACGTCACGTGACACGGGAGGTAATGTTATATTTTATACGAATGAGTTTTCAATATAAATATATAACGAGTCATTTACTTTTTAAATTGTGTATATATTTGTTAAATTAAATATGTAAGTGAGTTACTGCCTGCTAGCCACTGAAGCTGCAATTAGCTAACCATAGATAACTTCTTTGAATACAAAAAACATTTCAGATATCAGCTGCAATTAGTTGATTAACAATTTAACTTGAAATTTGCCCCAAAGTAGCTTCCGGCTTCTGATCCGCCGTCCTTTTGAAAATACCGCGGTGTATCCTGGGAAATTTTTGACCAAGGCTAGGCTACAAGACACCTCCCTTGTATCCTTGCTCAGTTAGCTAAACGGCTAACAAACGAACAGACACCTCAGTGGAACATGAACATTGGAACATGTCTTGGCGGTTCCTGATGACGTGTCTCCTAGGCAACTGGGGCAGGTCGAAGACATCATGGCGAGGTTCCCTGGCATTGAGAAAGACCCTTATTATTCATTTGTGTTTTCAGTAACCTTGCTGTGGTCTCCAGTATGAATGAATGTCATTTTCTGTGGAGAAAAAGCTCAGGCGCTCCTGTTTCAGGAGGTAGAAGTTTGTTGGGGGGGGGGCTTACATATTATGCATGTTCTCACCTCGTGATTGGCTAACAGCACCATGACTCTTCTGCTGCCTTTGTTCTTTCTTCTGAAAGTCTTCTGCCGTGTTGTTGAGATGCTAATGGTTAGCTTCTACTTCATGAAGGAGAAACTGTGACTCGTGTGTTTGGTGCAGCTCTGATTGTTGTGTGTGTTCCAACAGGACCTGCTGGACCTCGCCCTGTCTCTGGCCAGTGAAGGAGACAGGCTGATTGAAAACTGCCATTACGCCGAGGACTCCATCAGGCCGAAGTGCGGCGAGCTGAGAGGAGTGTGTGAGGAGATCAGCTCTACTCTGAGGAGCAAGAAGAGCCTCCTGCTCAGGGCTTTGGAGCTGCACCAGGCTCTGGAGAAGGTAGGAGTCAGCTCTAACCCTAACCCTAACCCAGTACTTCAGGAGCTCAAATCTGCTTTACCTTTGTGTGCAGGCATCTCGGTGGTGTGAGGATGGTATCTTCCTGGTGGCAAACCAGCCAGTGGACCGCTGTCAGTCTCAGGATGGAGCTGAAGCGGCTCTGCAGGAGCTGGAGCGATACCTGGATACCGCATCCCTACACACGCTCTCAGACCGCAGCACCATCTGCTGTCAGTTTGAGGCAGTGCTCAACCCTCAGCTGCTGGTCAGATTTCTTACAGACGTACTGCAGATGCATCCTAAACGTAGCAGCTATTTAAAAGTTCTGCTCTTCATCCCCCATCAGGACCAGATAGACAAAGTTTTCCAGAAGCAAACCTCTGTTCGGGAGACGTTCGAGAAGAGACGAGTCAGCCTGAAGAAGCTCGCTGCCAAACAGACCAGACCTGTCCAGCCTGTAGCACCGAGACCTGAGGTCAAGTCTCCACTGTCCTCTCCAAGTAGGTCTATGAGGCAAATCCGTTTAAAGGTAAAGAGCTGCGGCATCAGAGAGATAAAACCAACGCTTGTCTTCACTGCAGGTCAAGAAAGAAAAGAGAGGAGACACTCTGCAGACAGCCTTCTCTGCAGAAAGGTACAACTAGCATCGATGATTACGCTTTTTTATTTCTGTAAAGTTCGCTGTGGTCTGAAGCACTGCTGATGATTCCAGGTCGAGTCTCAGTTAGCTAACGGAAACACGAGGCATGCATCTCTGTCAGAAGAAGAAGAAAACCTGGCGGTGCTTCGCCGGTGAGGGTTCTTTATAGGACCTTTAACAATCCTCCACCCGCCCACTCCTGCCATCAGCTAACGACTTGTTTGTGATGTTTCCAGTCATGTGATGAACGAGCTGCTGGAGACGGAGCGAGCGTACGTAGAAGAGCTTCTGTGTGTGCTGGAGGTAAGTGCTGTCACTTACAGGTGGGTGCATGACCCACCCCCCAGGCTTAAAGCTACTGCTGTTGAACTTCAGGGCTATGCAGCAGAGATGGACAACCCCGCCATGGCTCACCTCATCCCCATCACCCTGCACAGCAAGAAGGACATCCTGTTTGGGAACATGCCTGAAATATACCAGTTTCATAAGAGGTACAGCGCTTCCTGCAGGTCTTTTTTTTTTTTTTTTCATTTTTGGTTTGTTTTCAGACATTTCTTTGTTGTTTTCCTGTCGTTCCTCTCTAGAACGTTCCTAAAGGACCTCGAGGCGTTCACAGACTGCCCAGAGCTGGTGGGCCGCTGCTTTCTAGAACGGGTACGCTCACATGCAACAAAACATTCGCCTCAGGAAAAAAGGAAACTGGTGTTTCACAAAAGTGTGGTGCTGAGCTTTTAAACTGCAGTAAGATGAATGTGAAGCAGCACAACAACGTACGAGAGGTTTGGTTACGTAGCTCACATTAACAACTACAGAATAAAAGCTCTGCACTCTGCACTTTTCTAAAGAAAGTAAAGAATTCCGGTTGCCTTTTTGCTAAACCTGTTAGAAAAGCCACCATCTCTGTCATTGTAGATGAAGGACCTGCAGATCTACGAGGCGTACTGCCAGAATAAACCTCGCTCGGAGATCTTGTGGAGGCAGTGCTCCGATTGTGCCTTCTTTCAGGTCGGCCACGCATCTCCGGCTGCTTCGTAATGTAGCTTTTTCCTCGCTAGCGTCCTAACTGATTTTGATTGCTTCGTAAATTCAGGAGTGCCAGAAGAAGCTGGAACACAAACTGGGTCTGGACTCCTACCTCCTCAAACCTGTCCAGAGAATCACCAAGTACCAGCTCCTTCTGAAAGTGAGAGCGGCACATGTCCAGGATTTCATTGGTGTTTTGTTTGCATGATTGTTAAAGAGCAAGTCACCCCCAAATCAACCTTTTTTTTCCTGGTAAACTATATAAATGCATGTCTAATTGTGCTGCAGACACGTGTGGTCAATAGTTTAGCACTTTAGTGCATTTTAGTTAAAATTTTAATTTTCTGCCTAAAACTGTCAGTCTTGTGTCGTTGTCAGGTAAAAACTCTGCACTGCATTTGAATTTAAATCTGCCATCGCTATTGGCTAAGAGGTACCCTAGAACGTTAGCTGGTACCATACGATGTCATAGTGTTGTTGTGAGCCTGTGTGTGTGTGTGTGTGTGTATTTGTTAGCGGCTCCACCCTCTCGGTCTGCTAGGCAACAGCATTTGTTGCATTTTTCAAACAGGAAGTGGGAGTTGAGTAAGAATCTGGCGGGGGTGACTTGCTCTTTAAAGGGGTCACATAATTATCCACAACCTTCTCCCAATGTTTGAATAAAGAAGCTTTTAAAGGAGCTGTTAGAAACCTGCTTATTGGACTCATAACACCCCCAAGGTCCTGAACATGTAGACTCATTTACTCACGTTTTTGCCACAAGTACGTTATTAGCATACAATCTGGCCTCAGTTGCTCAGTGTTGTGCCTTTTTGTCATATTGTAGCTTTTGTGTTTTGTTGAACCTTCTGGGCCACCATACGATAAAATAAAATGTGACACAGTGCAATGTAGCATTAGCCTAACAAGCCATCCTAGGAATATATAGTCCGGTCACGACCCATAGACAGAGTTCGGTCGTGGGACGGAATCTACGGTTGTCTTTTGAACTGTCTCCGCATGCTGTTAGACAACAAACAACGTGACATAGTCGCCGCTACGGATGTCAGCCGACGGGGCAGTTTGCCGTACGCTGTCAAAGAAGACGCAAATGCATCCTTTTTCTAAATAAAGGACTCAAGTACCTCTTTCTGCTCTTGCCTCAGGTCTAAATAGCCTGAGCCGCCGCCATCTTTGTTGTTTCACTCTGTCGCATCATCCCTCCAGACCGATGGAGCGCTGTGATTGGCGTAACACAAAATTGCTCAGTAGACCTACTGATGCTCCTATGGAGCGTGGTCAGCTTCTGTCAGTCTAGATTTCTAGGCTAACGTGGCTTAGCCAATACATAATACTTAAAACAATACACTATGGTACCATAAAGTATTATATGATACGATATAATGTATGACATCATTTGACACAATACAACAGGACGGTAAACACTCCATACAACAGCATTGATGTGGCCTAAGTAGCTGATATTTTCACTAAATGAATAAATAAACATAAATAACTATAAAGTTACACAATATAAACATGACCCTCGATTGGAACCAGTGTGGGTTTTACTGGTGGACTCCTCTGTGATGGTTTCAGGAGCTGCTGAAGTACAGTAAAGGCTGTGATGGCTGTGAGGACCTTCAGGAAGCGCTGTCCTCCATCCTGGGAATCCTGAAGGCTGTTAATGACTCCATGCACCTGATTGCAATCACAGGATACGAGGTCAGCTACATTTCATGAAGAACTTGTGTTTTAAAAGTTGGATTTATGTGACGGCATGTTTCGTGGGTTTATCGTTTCTTCTTTCAGGGTAATTTGTCAGAGCTGGGTCGCTTGCTGATGCAGGGTTCCTTCAGCGTTTGGACGGAGCATAAGAAAGGCCACGCTAAGGTGAAGGACCTGGCCAGGTTCAAGCCCATGCAGAGGCACCTGTTCCTCCATGAGAAGGCCCTGCTCTTCTGCAAGAGGAGGGAGGAGAACGGGGAAGGCTACGAGAAAGCTCCGTCTTACAGCTTCAAACACTCCCTCAGTGTAGGAACACGCTCAAAGACGGGTAACGCCAGCTCAGAAGGTTTCCTCTAGTTAAACAGGTTCATGTTTTTGTTCAGATGAGCGCCGTCGGCATCACGGAGAACGCCAAAGGAGACAACAAGAAGTTTGAGATTTGGTGCAACTCCAGAGAGGAAGTCTTTATCGTTCAGGTAAGATAAAAAAAAAACTTTATTTATCAGAGAAATCAGCACAAACAGGTACAATTGCTTGCATTTTCTTTTAGGCTCCGACGCCTGAGATTAAAACACTGTGGGTGAATGAGATCCGTAAAGTTCTGACTCAGCAGCTCAAAGCCTGCAGAGGTAGGCCTGTTTCTTACCGTTCAGCAGTGGCGCCCCCAGAAAACTTTCTCAGGGGGCCTGGTGGAAACGTTGGGGTGGCTCTCTGTGGTAACTGTGGGACTGTTTAGCCTGCAGCTGTGCATTCCAGGCTTCTTCATTCTTTGTGAATAAAAGACAAAGCCCACCCAACACATTTACCTCAAATTTGAGAATTTAAACACTTCAGAAAAAACAGATTTTAATTAAAGGCATTCAGTTATTTTTATTTCAACATTTATTGTTTTGTAATTTTAGATTATTTGAAGTTGCATGTTTAAACAAAAACATCCACAAATACTACTGGAGTTTACCCCGCCTTCACACTGGAGGCATCAGCGGCATGGAATAGCAGCGCGACGGTTTACTCGCATGTTTTGCTGGGCGCCAATTTACTCGCCCCAGAGGCGGCTCGCGGCAAAAATAGAGCCCATCTTTAGTGGCGCCATGGGTCGACACGCCAGAAAATCTCCGTGCAGCGGCTGGATTACATCAACCCCAAATACTCTAATGAATGCTATGTGAAGCAGCAATGTTCCTCTGCCGTTTTGCACCGCCGATGCCTCTACTGGGAAGTCGGGATAATGGTTCTTTTTAAAAACGCGGATTCTCAGAAACAAATATATTGTTTTTAATTAGGATTTATTTACTTTATTTAATTATTTATTTATTTATGGGGTTGTGAACATGAGTATGATTTATTGAAGTGGGGTAAGGGGGTTAGTGGGGTGCCCAGCAGTTGGGGTGTCCACCTCTTGGGGGCGCCACTGTCCTCACATCAGGAAATCTGTGTATGTTTCAGATGCCAGCCAACAGAAAAGCTTCGACTCGGTTTCTCCAAGTCCCACCAGCAACAACACCTCCATCCCCCTCAGGTTGGTGTCACCTGGGAAGGATTAAATCAGCACGTTCATGCCCGCATTTATGGATTAATATTACCCCCCCCCCCCCCCCCCCCCCAGCCCTTTCAGAAGCAGCAACCAGAAGAACCAGAAGAAGCAAGAGGAGAGGAAGGCAGAGTCCAGCTTAGCCTCTGACTTCAATTCCTGTTCGTCTCCGAAACACAAAGGTGACTTACCGGCTGCAGAAAACATCACCTGACTGAACGGTCTTCTCCAGCTCTCGCTAACCTGGACTCTTCTCATCTTCATCGCCTTCACCTCCATGATTCTGCTTCTCCTCTTCTTCCTTTTCCTGCTCCTCATTTCGATCCATCTTTTGCAGACGACGCCGTGACCAGCCCGACCACTGACAGGTCCTCAGTGGCTAAAAAGCGTTTTACTTTGCAGGGTTTCAGCAATCTAAAGAGTCCCAAAGGTAACACGAGAAAAAGCTCGCGAGCTAAACCTAGCCTAATGCAGAATTTGTTACGTTTGTTTAAATTTACAAATGTTGTTTTGATCACATTTGAACCCTCATTAGATTTAGATGTTCTCAGCTTTTCGTGCTGGAGATTTTCTGCCTCCTGGTGGTCAAAAAGAAGAATTACACCTGCACCAGACAGACTGTCTCTAATCAACGTGTTGCTTTATTTCCTCCCTTTTCTTCACAACCCCCCTCTGCTTTATTTATCTATTTAATTTTTGTGCCCAGGCTCAGCTCTGAGCCCCGAGCACAACTCCAAACGCCACTTGGTCAAAAGTGACCCCACTCCTTTTGGGTTCAAAGGTATATATCACTGGGTTTTTAATCCTTCCTCCTCCACCCCCTTCAGCAATGGTTTCATGTCATCATTTGTTCAGTTTCACCCACATCGTGTGTGAAAAGTTGTATTCATCCTCTCATTTCCTGTTTTTAACACACAGAGACAGATTATCTGCATGAGAAGCTGTAATTTGGTTAAAGCCAAATCTTGTCCTTCTAACACGTGCAGATGTTCTGCTGCTCTCCAGTCTCCATGTGAACCACAGCTTTATTATGTTCATCTGGGAATTTCATGTTGGGGTTGTTGTATTTGAGTGTTTTCTGTGAAATCAGCTGTCGCGGGAGTGCAACAGGCTCATAAACCCGTGTAAAAACCCGCGTAGAGCCAATCTGCACACCTGGCTTGCCGTTATTGACCCGCTGGCGGTTTCTCCCCCTTTAGAGCGGCATCAGCACATCTCTCTGAGCAGAGTCAGATGGATGAGTACCTCTAATCTGTTACAGAGCAAGCGCCAAGGTAACCCGGGTTCAGCCACTCTGGGTCTCTCTTCTCGTGCTCTTGAGTGATTTGGGTTTTTAAACTCTGGGTGAAGTCAGGGAAACATCCACCTTTCGTGTTGTTTCTGCCTAATCTGCTGGTTTAAAATGTTTTAATTTGTGGCTGAATGATTTGTCCATCAGTGTTTTTCCACCTGTGGGTGTTTTTGCTTGTCGTGATTCTCTTTCTTCGCTCAGATCTGATCCTCCCCGGCAGTCTGGGCTGAACTTACCTGTGTGTTACAGTCTTGTTGGATTATTTACCTTTTCACCCGTCAAACTTCCTCTTTAATCGTTTCCCACTCGCAGGATGGAGCAAAGCGTCTCTGTCGGTGGATTCAGTCGACGCCTCGGAGGAGAACGATGGCTACTCCAGCGGCGAGGACCCCATGAACTCTGACACGGAGGACGAGGTCGCGAGGAAGCTGGTCAGTCTCGTGAAGACCTTTACTTGTTGTTTTACATTAAGTATGGGATTATCTGTCTAATCCGGCTCTTTTCTACCTTCAAAGGCTCCGGGAAAGTACACGGTGGTGGCAGACTGTGAGAAGGCGGGTCCTCAGGAGCTGTCTGTCAAGAGTGGAGACGTGGTCCAGCTGATCAGAGAGGGAGAGGAGGGACAGTGGTAAAGAAATGATCCCACTTTAACACAAACTAGTAAATGTCTTTATTTCCTGTATTTGTTATATTTGGCTGATTCCAATTAGCTGAAATTTTATTGTAGAAATGCAATAAATAAATAAATAAATAAACAAATAAATAAATAAATAAATAAATAAAATCATTAGGATGGAGGGGCTGTTGCCCTCTTGTGGTGGCTCTGTTATACTGCAGCTTAACTCAAAAGTAACTTTATTGATTTTATGAGAAAAAATGCAAATAAAAGACTGCAGATACAGAAAATAAAAGAGGAAAATGATTCTTTTACATACGTAGATGTGTTTTTACTTATTATTTCTGATTATAATCAGTCACTCTGGGTGTTTCATGCAGGCTGAACATGAAAATAGTCTCCTACACCTATCTCCTGCTTTAGCTTCTGATAGAAAACAGACTGAAACTCTAGGATTAGAAAATCCTGACAGATCTACGTCACACTGTCACTAACATTCATGGACTCACCCATCTGGACTCACGACGGGGAAGGCTGTTGTTGGTTTAGCATCTCGGAAACATCTCAGCTAGTAGAAGCTAACTGTTAGCATTAGCAACTCCACCACACAGCAGAACTCATCCAGGCTTGTGTTATTTGTGGGGGAAAAACATCAACGTTGGAGTCAGTGGCAGAGTCGTGTTGCTATTGGCCAATCAAAGGAGAGATGTCCAAATATCAGGAAATAAGACTCCAGAAGGCTCTCTCCTAGTTCCTAAAACAGGAGCGCCAGAGCTTTTTTTCTCACAGAGATCAACTCACATTTATACTAGAGAGCACTGCAGGTGTGTTGAATAAACAGCTGAATTTGGTCTTTAATGTTGCAGCACAAGCTAGGCGCTGCGTATAACTCCTATGAGCCGTTGCGTCTAAGGTATGGCTATGACTCCAGGATTATTTATAATCTATGCTATTGATTTTCTGCAGCATGACACCCATAAAACCTGATAATGGTCATGGATTATGTTATAGAGATGCACCGATTCTTGTTTTTAGGACCAGTACCAATTTGTGATTTTTTTTATAATAAAGCTCTGCTGATGCAGATTTGAGCTGATTCTGAGTTTTCTGACAGAACCACATCAGAAACCAAATCTGATTTATTAAAAATGTGCATCTAATAGTGAAAATCTCCACATGGAAGCTCTGTTTTCCTTTCATGGTTGGAGAGAATGTGTGCTCAGGGATTTTTCACATTGATGATGAGCCGATTCCAATCACCAGCCAATGTTCTGGTCCATTTAAGTTTGATTTTGCTGAGAAAAACAAATAAGACATCCTTTTAATCTGGTCCAAAGACTTTTATGAGTCATTTTAAGAGCGATGAAGCTGTAGAAAAGTAGATTTTCTAGTGGTTTTTGTGTCTAACTGTTATCAGTTCTGTGTTAAATGTGAAAAAGACCATTAAAAGACCTAGACCAGATGGTGTATATAGTAGGCTGGTTTTTATGCAGCTTTTTCAAGGATTTCTGGGCTTTTTTCTCCTTTAAGAAAAACAAAACCCTTCTTTCTGCCCGTATTTCAGGAGTTTAAAGCCAAACGAAGATTACTGTAGTGAGAACGAAACAGAATTTCCTGGAATATTGTGGGATTATTGATTTCTACAAGGTGATGTGTGGAGGCGAAGTAGCAAAAAATGGAACTAATCCCTCCTCTCACCTGAGCCTGGATTCAGCAAAACTCCTCCTCTGATAGCTGCTGTCGTGATAGTGATGCGTGTTTGATCTTGTGTAGGTTTGTGAAGAACCTCCGCAGCAGTAACGAGGGCTGGGTGGCAGCTGCAAACCTCCTCAGCCTCATCTCCGAGTCCAAGTCCTCACAATCCCTCAGCAGCTCAGGTGGGCTCCGTTAACACCACTTGTGATTTGAAACTCCTCCGGGAACATGTAGAGAAGTTGTGCATTTGTCCTGCAGATGGCAGCGTCTCCGGGAACCTCAGCACGTCCTCCAGCTGCAGCGAGACCTACACCAGCTTCTCCGACATCAAACCCTGAGCTGAGGTCACCGTCCCGCCTTTTTAACCTGGAGCAATCAGGAAAACAAAACCAGTGTTTGGATTTTTATCTCATCACCTCCTGTCAAACTGGCGCATGGTCTTCGTTTACTGAACAGGTGTTCAGCGCCATGTTGTGATTATGTAGCATCTAAAACGGACGGTTAGAAGATCTGCACCGCTGGAGGCCAGCCGGTTCCCGTCAGGCCGAGGACATGGCGGCACGGTGGCAGATTTTCCTCTGGAGCTTGCATAGATACTCTAAAATAGGCAATTCACGTGATGTAACAGCTTTAGTGTCAGACGCTGATCACTCACTGTGAAAAGTGGCAGGTGGCCGCAACTAGAACAATGCTGTCAAGCGTGTCCTGGAGCGGGGCCGCACACCTTGCACTTAATAAAAACGGCAGCTTGGACATCTTTTGAAGCTCCTGAGAAAGTAAAAAAATAGGAGTTTGCCTCTGAATTGCATTAACCTCTCAGGAAACCCCAGAAGATATGCGGGCAAGCAGGTGTGACTGCATACCTGCATGTGTCGACTAAAGGTGCACACATTCCTCTGTGTGTGTGTGTGTGTGTGTGTGTGTGTGTGTGTGTGTGTGTGTGTGTGTGTGTGTGTGTGTGTGTGTGTGTGTGTGTGTGTGTGTGTGTGTGTGTGTGTGTGATTTAGGAAACAGAAAAAAATAGCATCACAAAGTCGCCGAAGTAAAAGAACATGTCAGCTTTTGTTGTGCGGGAGCTCCTCTGATTGGGTCGTGGATCTCAGTATTCTCCCTGTTTGTTTTTCTGTCTTTGTCCCCACCTGTACTTGCACAAAGAAAGCTTTGTCCTCCTTTTTTTTTTTTTTTTTTTTTTTTTTTTCTTTTTTGCTCCCAGCCCCATTCAGGCATGTGACAGCAGCCAGGTTTTTTTTTTCCTATACCGACCAGGGCCTAGACCTGCCTCTCCACAGTCTTTACGCCTAAATCATGGGCTGGCTCAGCTGGAATGTAGCTGATCATAGTCGAGTATCAGAAATGCAATAAAAGTCTGACTATTCCTCGTGGGAATTTGACACACACACAGATAAACACTGAATTTATATTCCTCCTGTATGCACAAGGCGCTGTAAACTACATTCTTCCCTTTCTTTTTAGTAGCAGGACTATGCTGAACCTCTCCCGTTTATCAGACCTTGACTTTGCTCCTGCTCATGAAGACAAAGGAAGACTCTAGTTTACAGGCCTTATGTTGGATCAGTGTAACACGTGTATAGGTGTCACCTGTATACCTCATGCTGTTTTTACTCAAAAGAACCTGCATCGTGTCTGTTTGTCCCACATTTTAAACCTCCAGAACAATAAAGATGTCTTTTTTTTTATTATGAAACTTTATTTTCCTGCCCTTTAAAAAAAGAAAAGCTGACACGGGCACTAAACTTGTCAGAGTTGGATCACAATCACATAATAACTGAATATTTAGTATTTTTTGACACTGAGGCTGAAGAGACGCGAGAGGGTTCTATTTTTTAAGTTTCTGTTTATGCAGCACATTGCAGCAACCACTGTTTATTTTCTTACTGTATATCTTCTGAGTATGGTGGTGAAATAAAAATGTAATTATGAGACTTATCTGTATATTTGTACATATGTATTCTGACTTGAAATGAAAGCAGCTTTAATAAAGATGGTTTCCTCTATGATAATTCACCTTTTATTATTAAAATGTTTCAATTAGCTTTTAAACGCAAATTATTTGGTCACATTTTAGGAGTTTCGTTCTCAGTCACGTGGTTTCTTGCCTCCAATGGGCGTTTCCAGATCAGAAAGTCATGCGTTAGCTGGGCTGCGTTCCAATTAGTTTTCTAACCGATCTTTACATCGTTTGTTGGTTTGATTTCCGCCATAATTGTTTAAAAATCGAACATTACGTATGAATAAAGTCGTTATAAATGAATATATAGTGAATTGCAGCACAATTGTGTTTATTTAGGTTCTTATAATTGGGCAATGCGCCAGTAAAAATGCTAGGAAAGGTTAAAAGTGAGAGGATGAGGACGCGAGTCTGCCGCTGCTGGAAAGATACAGATTTGTCAAGTTAGCAAGGATGCGCCAGATGAAAACCGGAAGTTGTGCATTTTGCGCTATAAACCAAAAACGTTCACGTGAAAGGCTGGGAATGCCAGAGTTTGAGTGATTTTCACATTAAATAACTTCAAGCAGACTCTCGATAGTATCAATATGTTTTATTACAAACCTACTAGGACATTTTTCCCCAGTAAAGCGTCGTCTCCACTTTTATTGTGAAAGTCAGCTCCGGAAGTACAGATAGAGTTGACCCAGGCTAGCTTGGCAGACTGCTGGAGAGCGAACAGATGGAATTCTACACTCCCTTCTTAACAGATTCCTCACATTTTAAATTATATCGCTCGCATTTCTAGCCGACTGCGTGGCCAGCTAACTCGCTCGGCGCGAACGCAGACGCTTGACTGGGATCTCGGCTGCGATATAACCCGGGGCAGAAGCGGGCGACTCGTTTAAAGACACCCTAACATCTTCTCTGTAAGTATCACCTCTAGCTAATGTAATAGTGGGATGTCGCTGCCTTTGGCAGGGTTTGTAACTTCACTGAAATGTCTTACGACTGTGACACATTGGAGCCCCTAATGTCCTCCCTGTCCATGCAGTGGTTTCTGCTGTGATGCAGACATCTGTAGTTAGCTTTGGAAACCTGTCACACAAAAAGGCAGTGTGGCTGGAGGGAGAGGGGTGTAGCCTGTCTGGGACTGCTAATGCGGCAGAATGCGTGTTTTCCACACCCGTCTACCGTATTAGCTCCTACTCTTTCTAGTAAGGTGGGATATTTAAGTCTTGAGCAACGCAAATACCGACTGTGTATTTTGTTTTTCCTTTTTTTCTCCTCTCTTCGTTTGGACAAGTAGCATCAAGCTAGCCTGGAGAAAAGGTGGGGATTTTCAAAATAAAAGTACCACAAAGCATAGTCTCAGTAGTGTGAAAAATGTCACATTCTTTAAATTGCTGCTTTACAATGGTGCATTCACAGACACCCCTGTCACCTAAAAATAAACCAGATTATAAAATTTAGTCTAATTATGATTAGCAGTGACCTTGTTTCTGTTCATCTGTAGTTAAAAATGTAAATGGAAAGTTAATGAATGAATGAAATGGCTAAAGCTAGAGAATGACTAAATGAATTTAAGTAATAGATGACACATTAGAATTAGCATATTACACGATTAGTCAATCAGAAAGCAAAATAGTTTCTTATGTTTAAGAACAAATGACCCACTCCCTGAGTTGTGCTTTTAGTTTGAAAGTTTTCCCTGTGAAAACTTGATAAATATTCATTCCAGACAAATCTGATCAGGAGCTGTGGGCTTCATATCCTCTCTCAACATAGGCCTGTTTGACTCTACATCAGGAAAGTACCTGTACTGACCTTAAACCTCACTTCCACCGTAACTTTTTATTGACATTAACCTTAATGGATCTGGAGAAAACGGGACTGAACTTTACATTTCCTTCCTAACTTAGATTAAACAATCTGAAGTCGGAGCCACCGGCCTGTAAAGATCTAAATGATTACAGGCCGGTGGCTCTGACTTCCCACCTAATCAAGACTCTGGAGCGGCTGGTCCTCACGCAGCTTAGGCTTCAGGTGAGATCATCCTTGGATCCACTGCAGTTTGCTTACCAGCCTGGGATTGGGGTGGAGGATGCAATTATCCATCTTCTGCATCGCTCCCTTTTCCACCTCGATGGCAAGGGAACTACTGTGAGGATCATGTTTTTTGATTTCTCAAGTCCTTTTAATACTATCCAACCAGAGATCAAGAGGGACAAGCTGGAACATTTGGGAGTGGAGCAGCACCTCACGTCATGGATCTTTGACTACCTCACGAATAGACCACAGTATGTGAGGACTCTGGGCTGTGTGTCGGACAGAATTATCTGCAATACCGGTGCCCCGCAGGGAACAGTTTTGGCACCATTTTTGTTTACCATCTACACCGCTGACTTTTCCTATAACTCTACAAGTTGTTTCCTCCAAAAGTTCTCTGACGACTCGGCAATAGTCGGCCTCATTACTGACGGGGATGACAAAGAGTACAGGGAGCTGACTCAGGTCTTTGTGGATTGGTGTAAGCAAACCTACCTCCAGATCAACACCGGAAAAACCAAAGAGCTGGTGGTAGATTTTCACTGGCCACTGAACATCCAAGGAATGGACATTGAAGTTGTTGAGACCTACAAGTACCTTGGTGTTCATTTAAATAATAAACTGGACTGGTCAGATAACACAGCAGCTCTCTACAAAAAAGAGCAGAGCAGGCTGTACCTGCTGCAGAGGCTTAGGTCTTTAGGAGTCCAGGGTCTACTACTCAAGACCTTTGACGATGCTGTTGTGGCCTCAGCGGTTTTTTACGGCATGGTTGGCTGGGGTAGCAGCATCTCAGCTATAGGGACAGGAAAATGCTAAACAGACTGATCCAGAGGGCCAGTTCCATTCTTGGAGCCCCTCTGGACCCAGTGGAGGTGGTGACTGAGCGGAGAATGGTGGCCAAGCTCTCTTCTCTGATGGATAACATCTCCCACCCCATGCACCGGCCTCTGGCAGCACTGAATAGCTCTTTCAGTAGCAGGTTGCTGCGTCCACGCTGCGTGAGGGAAAGGTTCAGAAGATCATTTCTCCCAGCAGAGGTTAGATTTTATAATGAGGCCATTGCAGCTGGCCGTTAAATGAGGAAGATTGTGGTTTTCTGTAGTTAGTTTTATATATATGTTTTAAATATTACTGTTTTTTAATAATCAAATTATGTGTTTTTGTCTTACCTGTTTTTCTGACTGTACTGTCCTCTATGCTGCAACAAAGGTATTATCTATCTATCTATCTATCTATCTATCTATCTATCTATCTATCTATCTATCTATCTATCTATCTATCTATCTATCTATCTATCTATCTATCTATCTATCTATCTTCTATCTATCATCTATCTATCTATCTATCTAATCTTTATTAACCTTTATTTACCTTCCTTCCTTCCTAAAACGTAATTTTGACTAACCTAATCTCCAAATCTGGGTAAAAAATCAGGTAAAATTATTAGTGATGCACCGATATGAAATTTTAGGGCCGATATCTGATATTAATATCACCGTTATGTCCAATAAGCAATATTTACCGAAAACGATATACTGACATTAATGCTTCTAAAATCTGCATATTTTGTGTAGAATGACAATTATCAAAGTTGAATTGACGTTATTATGCACACACATTTCCGCTTCTGAGATGATCACAGTCACTGTCATGTGACTAAACAAATTACCCCCCCCCCCCCCCCCACACACACACACACACACACACCCCACCCTCTGAAACTGATAAAACAAATGGAAGCAAGATGGAAAATATATTGGTTGTTAATATCGGCCCAGTTTAATGTATCAGATCGATACCGATATGTTAAAAAATGACTAACATGGGCCGATACCGACATATTGTGCATCCTCAAAATTATTGTCGTTAATAGCTTCTAAATGTTTCACTGATTAACACAAATGAGACAATTACACATCAGGTAGTTCACGTGAAGAGTTAAATGTTTTTTTTAATCCATAAAATGCAAAAAGATTCCCTAAATCAGTTGGATATTGAACACATTATCTATTTCCCTCACCTTGGTGTTTTCTGCTAAATTTAGCACCAAAAATCTGTACGTTTGAGCTGTGTTATAAACTAAATCCCATATCCAGATGTTTTCTTGTACTTTTGTGCTGCTATAACAAATATGTGAAGCATCAGAGCCCAATGAAGGTGTAAATATGGCTGAAGAGTTAGTTGTTTTAGGTTCTTCTACAGGCTCATAATCCCGTAGTTTCCTCTGTCGCTCTTGAATGATGTGTCCAGTATGTGTGACAGCATCTCTCCTTCTTCATTGTTTGGCTGCACTGGAATGTTGTTTATTAGTCGTCAGAGCCGCCTGCTGAGATTCTGGCAGCTTCAGTCAATGAAGTGATGCAACAAAAGCTGTTCGATCAGGGCAAAGCCGAGAAAGAATGCTAGGCTTGTTCTGAGTCCACCAACTAGTCCAAAAAATTGAGCGGGAAACATTTAGTTCCATTGATGCCATACATAGATTTACAGATAGGAGAAATGAGCTTTTAGTACAAGCATTTGTTTTTTACTAGGTCTGGGTAATTTTAGGAAAAAATGGAATTGCGATTTTTCTGGCAAAAATGGCTATTTCAATTCGATTCACAATTTTCTTCAAATACAACCTCAGCATTAAATCCACAATATACAAAATGACCATCAAAAGATTAGAAGCCATTACTCTACTAATGCAAGGACCAAAATGTAACTTATAGCAGCTTTTCACTTCTCTTATAGCACCTTTTTGTTTCTTTTATAGCAGCTTTTAATTTCTTTTGTACATGCATTTTACTCCTTTTATAGCAGCTTGTCACTTCTCTTATAACTGCCTTTTGTTTTTATAGCAACTTTTAATTTCTTTCATAGCTGCTTTTCACTTCTTTTATAGATGTATTTTGCTCCTTTTATAGCAGCTTTTATCTTCTCATATCGGGTTTTAGCTTCTCTTATAGCAGCTTTTATAGCAACGTGTGAATAGGTGAATGACTGTGTTGTAAAGCACCTTGGGGGGTCCGACGACACACACACACACACACACACACACACACACACACACACACACACACACACACACACACACACACACACACACACACACACACACACACACACACACACACACACACACACACACACACACACACTATTGCAAGAGCTTTAACTAGAGCTCAGTCAGTTTGTGTAATTTCCTCCAATGGTTTACGTAAAAACTAACTTTTATATACGTGTTTGAAGCCATTATGCAGTGGAACGCTGGCAACAAAGCTCTGCCTGATCAACACTATAAATGATACATGATCCGCACTTGTATAGCGCCTCCCAAAGTGCTTTACACTACAGTGTATCATTCCTCCATTCACACACACATTCACACACTGATGGTGATGAGCTACAATGTAGCCACCGCTGCCCTGGGGCGCACTGACAGAGGCGCCCCACTATTTAATTCAGTCATTTGTTATTCTTCCAATCAATTACTAACCAAAACCTCATGCTTTATGCAAAACATTAAATGATTTTCAGCATACCGATCTTTACAGAAAACATAAAAGCCCTAAAAAACTGCTCATAAAATATATCTAAAAAAGGAAATTCACTTATCACTTAGAGCAGTAGTTCCCAAACTTTTCAGCCAACAGATGTTCCTTCGTATTTTTACGTTATTTATAAACTTTCATTATATTTGGAAAGTTTTAATTTATATATAAATATATAAATCTCTTTTAAAATTTTATATTTTACTTTTTTTATGATTATGTGGCACACTTGACTTCCATACATAACGCATCGGCATCTGCCTCTTTTTACGGCTTTTTTTTTTTTTTACATTGTCTCTACGTCTGTCACGTTTGCTGTGTTTTACCATTATTTCTACATCCATCACGTCCCAGAGAAGGTTAAACCAACATCAAACCCAACATTTGGAGCTCGTAAACTCCACACACCTCTCGTGCAGCACCAGCTGTCTGATGCTGCAGCAGCGTCAATCGTCCCGGCTGGATGAGTGAATTTCTTCATCAGAGTCAATATTCTGCTTCATAATCAGAGTCAGTCATGACAAGACAAAGTGATCAGTCAACAAAGACCAGACCTGCCGGCAATTATACGTTTTATCTAATATTTACGCTCTTCATGCTGCGCACATCTCCTCCTCTCCCCGACTGGGAGCTCACGGCGGGAGGCATTTTTCAAACTCTAAAAACTCCCAAACTTTGCTCAGCCTGAAGGTTCCACATCTCCACTATCTTCTGGTGTAAAGTAGTAACTTCATGAGGGATCATATTTGTAGATGAGACTTGTTAAAGTCAGCAATGAGGCTTTGGCGCTTTTAAAGAGCAAGTCCCAACACTGACAACAACGTACTGAAACTAGAACCAACATGCATAAATGGACCAGATCAGTCCCACCTACTTACACTGTTGGTCTTTTTTAAATACGCAGTAATCATTGCTCGCCTTTGTCGCTTCATTCTGCAACCTAGCAGCAACCACTATGGCGCCTCTGGAGTCAGTGTTTGTTTACGTCATGCTGCATTCAATGTAATTGGAAAAAGGAGCTTCAAGCACTAAACCTCCGATTTAGTTTTCTTTCTGGCCTTAGTTTGGGGGGGGGGGGAGACGAATCGGGGTCGATCTGAATCTGGGGGGGACAGATCCCCCCCCGTCCCCCACCCTATCTGCGCGCCTGCTTATAGCACCTTTTCACTTTTCCTATAGCAGCTTTTCACCTTTCTTATAGCAGCTTTTCACGTTTTTTTATAGCAGCTTTTCACGTCTTTTATAGCAGCTTTTCACTTCTTATGACAGCTTTTCACTTCTTTTATGGCAGCTTTTCACGTCTTTTATAGCAGCTTTTCACTTCTTTTATAGCAGCTTTTCACTTCTTTTATAGCAGCTTTTCACTTCTCTTATGACAGCTTTTCACTTCTTTTATAGCAGCTTTTCACTTCTTTTATAGCAGCTTTTCACATCTCATAGCAGCTTTTTGTTTCTGCTATGGCAACATTGTCTGTTGGTGATTGCATCTTTTTCAAACTGATGTCTGAATTTCACAAAGTGATTCCTGTCCAAAAGGCATGATCACATACAACGATGTACAAGTATGATATCATATGTTGTTTTAGTATTATCAGTTATTTCTACCACTGAACAGCTTAACTCTGCCACCTGCTGACATAAATTGTATCCGATGTGTGCTTTGTAGAAGTTAGTCATTGTCAGTGCAGATCATAATAAACAGTTTGTCCAGTCAGACAGCAGGGATCCAGCAGGCCTCAGATTGATCTGATTGCATAACATTTTGTTGGTTTTAATGGAGGAAAATGAAGGTTTTACAGTAACCAGCTGATTCAGCTTCACGGTTTCTGAAACCTGATTAAAACTGACCTCTTGGACCTCGTTCTGTAATAATTACAGACAGCAGGGCTGGTTATTATCGGTGATAAACTGTTAAAAAGCAGGAAACCACGTGCCTTTTGTGTGTTTTTAAGCACTTCCTTGTTGTTGGTTTAGCAAATATTGACAAAGGATACATCGTGTCATCGTCTAAAGTAAAACAGGAAGTATTTCAACTCCAAAAGCATGAACATTAAAGCCAAAACGATGACTACACATGAGCTAGAGGGAGTCATTTATTTATTTATCCTTGAAGGCAAAATACAGGAAAGGAAACTGTCTCACATAAAAAGACTTTTAACTCTTTTAAATTAAGTTCAGCTTGACTTTTAAGTGATAAACAAAGAGAACATGTACAAAGTAATTGCTGCTCCTCCAGGTTTTACCTAAAAACATCTGATTTTAACCAGATAGTCAGACGTTCATGCAGAAACTAAAGGTCTTTGTTGTGAAAAGTGAATAAAATCAGCAGAGATTTAGTTTTTGTCAGGTGGAAACCTTGTGATACGACTTTGGGATGTTTTCTTACTTTAGCTGCAGTTGAACTCCGGTGTAGTTTCAGTTGTTTTCCTGACGAAGACAATAAAGACGGAGAGGTTGGGGGGGGGGGGGGGGGGGAGGGTGGATGCCCTTTTACATGATCAGGATTAAGAGTCACAAGTTGTTCCTGACCTGAAAGTCTTCCTTTTGGATAGTTTTATTTGTCACAGGCTCAGAAAAGAACAAATTATTTTACTTAAGCTTAATAATCACAAACCCAGTAACAGTTGAACCAATTAATTTTTATTTTTTGACATTTTAACACAGAAATTCACAGTTTCTGGTGGTAAAATTAGCCAGAAACTCAAATACTTGAATGACCTCCATCTGCTGTTGAGGCTCAAACACTCCCAGGCATTCTGGGAGTACTAGAGTCAAATAAGTCCCGAATGATCCCCGTTTTTTTCTTACCGATTACGTCCCGCCATGTAATTAATACAACCTGCTCAACCTTAAAGTGCAAGTTACCCCCTGACCAGAGTCTTACTCCGCCCACATTTGCTGTTTAAAAGATGCGCCTAAAGAAGGCGTTGCCTCAGTTTCTTTGTCAGAGAAACGAGCCGTTAATTAGCATGAGCATGTACACACACACACACACACACACACACACGCTTCCCAGTCAGAGCAGAAACAGCAGCAGGCTGGAGGATTTCTCTCCACCTCGTTCAATTGGAGTACGATTTTTTTTAAGAGGCAAGCAGCCGAGAGTCGTATCATTTCACGAGTGGTCTAGCCAGCACATAATATAGTACCTCTAAAGCCTGATTCATGCTTCTCCGTCAGCTCCGCAAGGGACAGACACGCACGGATTGATGGAAGCGTTTTGCTTTCATACTTCTCCGTCTCCTGGGGAGTGTTGCAAAGCAATTCCCCGGCAGGACAACAGAGGACGTAGCGCTGTTCTGTGGTATCCTGTCATGTATCGGTCCAAGATCGTGTGTTCATATTGTGTTTTTTGTGTATATAAGAGACTTTTAACACGGACATATTTGTCTCTCATTCTCCCACCGCTTCATGCGCTCGCCACCTCTAAACCCACGTTTCCTGTAATTTCCGTCCACAAATAAAACGCTTGCTGCACATCTTTTCACTCCTCCAGTCACGGGAGGATGAAACGTTCATATTTTTAGAGTTTTTTCGCGAGGTATTCTTCAAGCTTCTCCGTGTCTGCCGCTAGTTATCCTCGGCTCTCTTTGCAATGGCGGCGCTGTAAACAACAGCGGCGTCCTGACCAATCACAAGCTTGCGTAATCTGTTTTGTTCGACGGATGTTTAAAAAAGTGGGCTCGACTCCGTACGTACTTGCGTGTCTGCCGGAGCCCTACGCAAGGACGGATAATGGCGTTGCGTGTCTCTGCACTGACGCAGACGGAGAAGCATAAATCAGGCTTTAGCCGTAAGAAATGACCGATTCAAATTCAATGTAGTGTAGGGTTTTAACCTGAAGAGAGTACAATATTGCTGGTCTTAGGCAGAATTTTTACATTTAAAATAGGATGCAATGACTGCATATGTCTGAAGCACCATTAGACTCGTTTATATGGTTTGGCAGCAAGAACGTTGATTTGGGGGTGACTAACACTTTAAACTGGGCTCAGTTACACCGATCTGAATGAGACTGTTGTAAAAAATGCACAAACACAACTAAATGTGTTTTGTGGTTTTAAAACTCTGATCAGCAATCTAACTACTTAAAATGAATCGGACTTGCATGCAGTTCTGTGATTTAGCCACATATGGGACTTTGAGTCTTCTGAAAGAGCCTCAGAAGTTTTAGAAACGTGCTTCATGCATAACCGAGATAAATATAAAATTAATTTATGGGGGGGTTTATTAGAGAAACGTTATAAATCACAAAAGTTCAAAATTTAAGTCGACTGCATTTATCGGTTTACACCAGGAGGTGGCAGAGTTGAGTAATGGTTGTCATTCTGCCCCATTTATGTCTGTTTTAGAAGAAGAGTCTCGGAGGTGTTTTCTTTGGTCGTCACGTTGTTTCTCACTGTGTGTGTGTGTGTGTGTGTGTGTGTGTGTGTGTGTGTGTGTGTGTGTGTGTGTGTGTGTGTGTGTGTGTTGTTCAGGTCCCTGGGCGTTTGCGTGTTCCTTCGTCATGCCGCTGTTCGGTAAACCCCACAAGAGTCCCGCAGACATCGTGAAGACCCTGAAGGAGAACCTGGCCATTCTGGTCAAACATGATAAAAAGGCAGACAAGGTAGGTGAGAAACTGTCTCCAGGTGTGGGCGTGTCTGGACGGCGGCTGGAGGTGACGGGACTCTGTGAAACCAGAGTTTAGAACCTGACACGGCTCCGTGAAGACGTTTCAGCCTCTCTGAGGCATAATCCTTTCATCATGTTTCTCCCGTCAAACGTCCAGGCGTCCGATGAGGTGTCCAAGTGTCTAGTGTCCATGAAGGAGATTCTGTACGGCAGCAACGATAAGGAGCCGCACACTGAGACGGTGGCCCAGTTGGCCCAGGAGCTGTACAACAGCGGCCTGCTGATCTCTCTGGTAGAAAACCTGCAGGTCATAGACTTCGAGGTGAGGAGCGAGGCAGCTCCCCGATGGATCAGAAAAGAGCAAGCGTGGGAAATTAACACTTTGGTTTTGTCGTTTCAGGGTAAAAAAGATGTGTGTCAGATCTTTAACAACATCCTGAGGAGGCAGATCGGGACGAGGTGTCCCACGGTGGAATACTTCTGCTCCCACCAGGAGGTTCTGTTCATCCTGCTGAAAGGGTGAGACCAACACCCGCTCCACACACACGGGTGAAGGTCTGAGTCACCAACACGATGCTCTCTCTGTGTGTGTGTGTGTGTGTGTGTGCAGGTATGAGACGCCCCAGGTGGCACTGAACTGTGGGATCATGCTGAGGGAGTGCATCCGCCACGAGCCGCTCGCCAAGATCGTCCTTCACTCTGACGACTTCCACAACTTCTTCGGCTACGTGGAGATGTCCACTTTCGACATCGCCTCCGACGCCTTCGCTACTTTTAAGGCACCGTCTATCCAGAAAAAAATCCTTAAGAGTTACAAGCATGAACGAAGTCTACCTGCTGTTTTAAGGCTGCATTTTAAATCCAAGATGTGTTTTTATTCACAGGACCTCCTCACAAGACACAAAGTGCTCGTGGCCGAGTACCTGGGGCAGAACTACGATGCTGTGAGTGATCAGCCTTACACACTCTTCAGCAAACACACGGATCAACGTCTGGTCGGTGATTTGGACCGACATAAACTAAAGGAGAGCAAGAAACAGCGTAAAAACGCTACAAGGCAGCTCTTGTGCATCTGCCTCCATAAGCTGAGGGGACCCTTTCACATGAAGGACCCCGGCTTCACGTCCGGTGCACAGACCCCCTCTTTAGCTGCTTAGCGTGTTGACAGATGTCAGGAGACATCACATGGACTCAATAGAGGCAGTGATCTAAAATGATCGCTGCTCCAGATAAAGTTACAGCCATGAAAGCCGGTTTCTGCCAGTAAATGTGTAGTTTTATTCACCGGTTCAAAGATAAAAAAGGAGATAAGACTCTAAACGTCAAACACATTTCATTCGTTCAAACAGCGGCCTGAAAATGTGAAATCTGCTAAAATAATGTTGTTTTCTCCCTGTTTGATCGCAGGTGTTTGCAGACTACGAGAAGCTGCTCCACTCGGACAACTACGTCACAAAGCGACAGTCTCTGAAGGTTTGACTCATGATTGATTCGAGTCAGCTGAGAAAACGTCAGGGTGGCGAACTCAAAACGATAAAATGTGTCCTGCAGCTTCTGGGCGAGTTGTTATTGGACCGGAACAACTTCACGGTGATGACGCGTTACATCAGCAAGCCCGAAAACCTCAAGCTGATGATGAATCTGCTCAGAGACAAGAGTCCCAACATCCAGTTTGAGGCCTTCCATGTGTTTAAGGTACACACACACACACACACACACACACACACACACACACACACACACACACACACACACACACACACACACACACACACACACACACACACACACACACACACACACACACACACACACACACACACACAGTTTTAACTCTTTAAACTCTGATGCATTAGAAAAGAATCTGATTATTTTTTAAACACATAACTGCACCTACCTCTTGCAGTACTGTCATATTCCACCAGGTGGCGATAATCCGGTGTAAGATTATATAAAACATGTTTTCTATTGAGGAATCTTAATCCTGCCTTAGGGATAGATTGATAGTCCTTGGGAGCCACAAAATCGGGATGTTCTAATTTTTGTGTGTTTTGTTTTGCATTGATTGTTTTCTCCTTTCATTATTAGAAGAAAAAAAATGTTTTTGTGTGCTTATTTGTTTTCTCCATTTTTTGCCAAAGTTAAAACGGTAAACCAGGTCAGACATTTTTTTTTAATTATAATAACTTTGTCATTTGTATTTATTTTGGTTAAGGGGAACAGATAACATAAGTTTTGCTTCTTTCTGTTCCTTTTTCATTTTTTGTTTTTATTTGCGAATAAATGAAAATAAATCTGAAAAAAATATTTTTAAATGCAAAATTTTTTTTAATACTAATAATTTTTGTTGCATTCGGAGTAGACACGCTAGGGTGATGATAAAAATGCTCTACATTAACTCTAGGAATTCTTGCGGGGGCCTTACAAAGTCACAATGAGGGCCAAAACTTGATTTTTTGCCATTTTAAAGAGTTTATTTGCAAAATAAAACTTTATTATACCTGGAAAGGCCTCAGTTCTGAGAAACTGAGTTTAGATATGACAAGACTGATGAGCTAACAGGTTTTTGCATTTCGGTGTTGACTGCACTCAAACTAGTCGTTAGCTCCTCAGTCCTCCTGCGGCTCCTTTGACTTCTCGTTTTAAAGGTTACAGTGATGACAGAAGTCAAGCGAGGTCATCAGATGTGACTTTGACCTCCCACCTGTTTCCTTTCTCCAGGTGTTCGTGGCGAACCCCAACAAGACGCAGCCAATCGTCGACATCCTGCTCAAAAACCAGACCAAACTAATCGACTTCCTTAACAACTTCCAGAATGATCGCTCGGACGACGAGCAGTTCAACGACGAGAAGACCTACCTTATAAAACAGATTAGGGATCTGAAGAAACCAACCTCCTAAGACGTCCCTCTTTCCTCCAGACCAGCTTTTTATCCGCAGACACATTAAAAAAAACTGTTGTTCTATTTAAAAAGTGTTTTTCTTCTGTGAGAGTAGTTCATGATCGCTGATTCTTTTCTTTTTGTACTTTCGTTTCCATGAAATCATGTTTTTTTCACCTGTAGCTCGCAGAGCCACAAACTCACGCTGCTGTTTAAACGGGCTTAAATCAGCATGAAGGAGCCGCAAATTCTGACAGCAATGAAGATTTTTCTTTTTTTTCTCATGGGAGTGTGACCCTGTACTGCCAAAACCACTGATTATTTTAAAGTATTCCGCTTTTTCTGTCTAAAACTAAACCCCAACAGCTGGTGGTGCTGTTTTAGTGGAACTAGTTAGGGAGGATTGAATAAAACGGCCAATAAAATCGAAATTTAACGGTGGCGTATCGGTACGATCCCCGGCTCTGTCTGCTGGTCGCTAGCGGCACTTTCTCAATGATAGAAACGATCCGTTTTCAGTGCTTTTCTATATTTATATATAGTTTTCATTTCTGCCATGTACAGCGAGTGTTGGGAGATTCAGCGGTGCCTTTTTGTTTTGGTCATTTCCCTCTTATTTCACGAGTCGCTGAGTTATCACACGGACGAGGAGGTGCTCTGGATGGCACGTCTTCGCTTTGGGTTGGGCGGTAAAACTCCCCTCACACTTTATCGCTGGACTTTTCTTTGCTGTTGATGCCAAAAAAAAAAAAAAAAACTTCTCAGAGCGAGGCCCGAGTGAAAGGTGATGAAACTGGATTCAAAAAATCCGTATGTGATGTGATTCTGTTTTAATAGGAATGAAACTTTGATTTTCATTTAAAACAAATGCATTTAATCAGCAAATAAATACTGGTAGTCATGAATGATGTTTTTTTTGTCTGGAATAATAAAAAATAATCAGGTAAACTTTACTCCACGTTTCTCATGAGTTAAATAGAACAAATCCAGCTAGTTTGGGTTGTTTAAAACCAGCTGCACAAGGCTAATGAGTTCCCTCCTCCCAGAATCCTTTGTGGAAACGGCCGCTGTTGTACCACAGTCACCATAAATAAAACCATAAATGCATTCTTTCTGTGTGTGTTTGTTTTTATTAGACTGCTGATAAATTACAACCATATTTAGGCTCGAGCAGCAAAGCTGCGAAGGCCTATTGTTTCTGCTCTGTTTATTATTTTTTTCTTCCGCGTCTTCAAAGGGCTTTTGGAAGGTCTGACCAGATCCAGAAACTCACCAAATTCTGGCCCAATATAGAAAGTGTGTAAAATTTACCTATTTCAATAGCGATGTAAAAGTTGACCAAGTGGCTCGACAGCGCCTCCTGGAAAATGAAATATACCCCTACGCTTTGACCATTTTTTACAGTAGAGTGATGAAATTTGGTACACTTGTAGAACTCAACAATACACACAGAAAGGTCTCTTGCACCCATGGTCAATATCAAACAGGAAGTCGGCCATTTTGGACTAAAGTAGCAATTTTGACCCCGTTTTGGTCATTTGTAGGGTCTATATTTGGTTGAACAGTTTGGTCATTTTTCGCACAATCGTGTCAAAAATAGTGTGCGATCGATCAGAAGGGATGGACGATTGAAATGAGAACATAAAATTGACTTCGTAAATACTGAAGGGGCGAGGCCATGCCTCAAAGTTCGAGCACTCACCCAAAAAATTCAAATGGCTACAATTTCATTAATGAAAGAATTGCAGTTAAAAAAAAAATTCTATGGACATTCGTCACCACCCCCGAAGAAAAATGGTCGATTGATGATGTCACACAAGCCCTGCCTCCTCATGACTACAAAGGTCAAGTTTTACTGTGAAATTTCCCAAAATTCACCATTTCATATAAGCACCACAAACTTGTAGCAGATAACTGAAGACAAGTTGGGGTTGCTGGGCCTCACTTTACGGGAGCTTTCAAAAGACAGCGCGGCGAAGTCCGGCGTAACGCCATGGCCATACGATTGCCTCTCATTTAGTCAATTCCAAAGCCATTGCCTCGAAATTTCTGATGAGTGATCCACAAGAAAACTTAAAATCAAAAGTCGGTAGGCGTGGCCAATTTTTTGAAATAGCGCCCCCTAGTACCCTAGGCCCAAGCCATGCTTTGACTGAGGATTGTGAAATTTTGTACACTTATGTAGTGTCTCAGGACGTACAAAAACTCCTTTGAAGCCATGCTCAATATCCCACAGGAAGTCAGCCATTTTGGTCCAAGTACGCCATTTTGTGTTTTTTGCACACTTCAAAGGTACGTCAATCCCCAAGCGCCCTTTACCACCATCACCTTCATACTTCTGCTGAAAACTCTTAAGACCAAGCAGGAAAATCTGAACCTACGGATTTTCCAAAAGTCTAACGGTGTGGGCGTGGCTAGGCCACAAACTTTGACCCGTCACCACAACATGCTTTACTGTCAATGCTCCCAAATTGACTCCTTTAACCTAATCAACATGAATCTCTGGCAAACAGCAGTAGACATGTTGGGGTCACTTGGTGTCCAGTACTGGCAGGTTTCAAAAAAGGGCAAGGCTTTGGGGGCATGGCGAATTTTGACATCACGCCGTGGAATTACGTTTGCCTCTCATTTCCTCAATTCTGATGCTATCGGTCCAACAATTCAGGTGATTGATACAAATCCAAACCTCAATAAATATTACCCTGAAAATCAGGTGGGCGTGGCTTAGTTTCTTCACTAGCTCCCCCTAGGTCCAATAAAAATGTCAGCCCCAAGTCATGCATTGACTGAGGATTGTGAAAATTTGTATACTTATGTAATGTCTTTGGACCTACCTATGCTCCATATCCCACAGGAAGTCGGCCACTTTGGTCGAAGTCAGCCATTTTATGATTTTTGCACACTTCAATGGTATGTCAACTCCACAGCGCCCATTACCCCCCATCGCCTTCATACTTCTGCTGAAAACTCTTAAGACAAAGCGGGAAAAACTGAACCTACGGATCTTCTAAAACTAACGGTGTGGGTGTGGCTAAGCCTCAAACATTGACCTGTCACCACACCATGCTTATACTTTCAGAGCTCCCTACTGGACTCCTTTCATCTATTCAACAGCAATCTCTGCCAAATAGCAATACAAAAGTTGGGGTCACTTGGTGTCTAGTACTGGCAGGTTTCAAAAAAGGGCATGGCCGTGGGAGCATGGCGAATTTCGCCATCACGCCATGGAAATACATTTGCTACTCATTTCCTCACTTGCCACAATATCACCAAAAGATTTCTGGTGAGTGATTCTAGTCTGACCCCCAATATAAATAGATGTCATAAGCTGGTGGGCGTGGCCTTTTTTTCTGAAATAGCACCCCCTACGACTGTTAAAACTCTTAGCCCCAAGTCATGCTTTGACTGAGCATTGTGAAATTTTGCACACTTATGTAGTGTGCCTGGGCCTACAAAGAAGTCTCATGGAGCCGTGCTCCATATCCCACAGGAAGTCGGGCATTTTGTTCCAATTACGTTACAGAATCTCTTTCGAAGCTGGAATATTTTGCTAATGTTTTAGTGGGGACTGTTTGCAGGCTAGGAGGAAAGGTTGAGTCACACTGAGATGACAGCTCACAGTGATCGCAGTTAAATGCACGCTGGGGTGTCTGGCACGCACGGGTGCTCGTGCGCCACCGGTTGCAGGGCGATGGGCTGGGAGAGCGTCGGGGATGGAGTGGAGGGGGTGTGGACGGAGGGCGAGCAGCTTCGCTGCGAGGGCCGAACGAAGCTGCTTGCAGCTTTTATTTCAGATTATTGTCATCCAACCAGAACTCCTGCTTTACAGATCAGCTGTTTGTTTCTTTAACCAAATCAGGACAAAATGTGAAAATTTGAACCTTTTAAACAAGAATCCACAGAACACCAAGTCCTCACTTGTATAGTAAAATAAAACAAACATCTACATGTCACAGTTTCAGAAGAACAACAGAAACAGAAGCTTCCAGAACCTGCAGAGCCAACGCCGTTTGGTGGTTCATGCTGGACGGATTCGTCTGATGTTCAGCAGATATCGGAGGAACCGCTGGAGCCTTTGGTGCACAGCTTCTTGTTTTTGTAGATCTGCTGCTCAGCCTGCCGGACGTGCTTCCCAACACACCCGTCTGAAACAGAAACACGTCTTCTAACCGAGCAGGAACATCTAACGGGAGGTCAAAGAGGCTACTTACTGGTGAGGTGAAGAGACGACGCTGAGGACACGGGGGGACTCCTTTGCCACTGAGAGAAAACAAACATGGCTGACTATGTAACACGACAGGATAAACAGGCTTCTCTCACATTTAAAAGTAAACAGAAAGAAAAGAGTGAATAAACTCACAATGAATTTGCAGACGCCCTTCAGGCTGCCGAACCTCAGGTAGGAGATGTCCCCCTTGTCTTTGTCCCTGTCCTGGTCTGAGGTGTAGATGTGTTTGACTCCGGCTCCTCTGATCAGAGGGATGCACTCGTCACACGGACATTTGGTAACAAACAGCATGGAGCACTCGTCTGGTTTGATGTCCCTCGTCCTGAAAAGCAGCAGGAGGGACTTTTAGGTCAGACAGACGAGACGAGACACGCTGGACGAGTCTGAGCCGACCTAAAGGTCAGGGCGTTCTGTTCCGCGTGGACGATGTATCTGTATTTGCGTCTCTCTCTGTCCTCCTGCTTGTTGTCCATCTGGGGGTACTCGGCATACTTTGAGCCAGCAGGGTAGGCGTTGTACCCGCAACCAATCAAATACAGACGTCCTGTCCCACAACAGCAGGCCTGGGACAAAGGACAGAAGGTGAGACACTCCCTCTATTTACTCTTGTTTATTATCCACCTAATAAAGAAGTTGTTACCGACTGCCCTTTAGCCCAGATGACGGCGCCCACTCCCACTTTGGGATCCTCTGGAATCAAAGAGAGTTTTACAGATGAAAAACGTCCCAGAATGCACTGGGACAGCCCCGTGGAGTTCACTGTCCAATAACAACCAAAAGCAATAGGAGACGCACCTGTCCTGTAGGACAGAAGCCTGGCCTGGACGATACAGTGGCGGGCCACCGCCTGAGACACGTCCACAGGGTGGGGATCCAGAGACAGAGACTCTTCTCTAGGGATGTCAGAGACACATCAGAGACACAGAGGTCCTGCTGAGTCGGAACAGATCGTCTCCTACCTGTAGAAGCCGTAGTGTTGCTGTGGCATCCCAGCAGCCACTGCAGCCAGCACCTCCACCAGCTCCGTCATGTTGCTCCTCAGGTTGGAGAAGTAGGGCTCCACGCAGAAGTTCTTCAAACCCATTTGACTCAAAATGTCTTTGTGCCGCTGATCCGTTTGGATCAGGAAATGTCTGCAGAAGTCTTTCAGGTGTCTCAGGCGATCACTGAGGAGCAGGAAACAGAACTTTTCATCCAGCATCACTAGACCTCATTAAAGGAGATTATCATGTGGCGACATCTAGTGGTCAAACTGCAGATTGCAACCAGATGAAAACTCCATGATTGGAATAATCAGCCACTCGACAGTAAAAAAAAAAAAAAAAAAAAGGGTGCCAATTTTACTTTTTTCAAAGCAGAGAACACTAAAACTTACAGATCGTGTCATTTTGCACCAAAAACAAACACAGTTGTTGAAATTATAACAAATTACTGTTGTATTTTTAAAAAGTGAGCAGTTAATCAGTTATTATATTTTTAACTCCTGCAGTAGTGAAGGTCGAATACCTGTTGAAGAGCTTCTCAGAGTCCAGCTCTGGATCATCATCCATCATCCTCTCCATGAAATCGCTCCTTCGAGACGTCTCATCAACAAACTGCAGCACGCCGGGCGCCAGCGGCTGCATCAGCACACAGATTTGAGGACGGCTGTTGGACTTCAACTTCTCCACTGCGGTGGCATCTAACGAGGCCTCTGTTATCGACTGGGAGGTCCTCTGAGAGTGTGTTTGGTTTGAGGTCAGCATGCTGATCTCAGGGTCTCCAGGCCAGAAGGTGATCTGACGGACTCCAGCTGAAGGAGCAGCCATCATTAAGTCAAGAAGACATTTCTAATAAATGTGTCTTCTGTCCTGCTCACCGTTGATGATCATCTTGAGGCAGGTGGCACAAGGCCTCCTGGAGAAGAACAGCTGACAGTTGGCCAGACTGGCACCGTGTTGGAGGATGGCTGCTTGTCCTGCGTGGAGATCAGCTCCTGAACAGTGAAGTCCCACCACTTTCCCTTCCCGTACCACCACCAAACCACTTCTACGGATCTGGAATATGGCAAAGGGATTGTGGCGAATGCAAAAACACTAATAAAGGTTTTTCTGTATGCCCTGACCTGACTCTGCCCATTTTCCTCATCCTGCTCCTGAGGGAACAGCTCCATCCATAGGCTGAGTAGAGTAAACAGGTTCACCTTTGACAGCCTGGGACCATGGCCTGGGTGGTGATGACACAATCAAGCACTGTAAAATTAAATGCTCCTTGTAGATTTCCTGGATATCAGCCCAGCCTTATGACAGCATTTAAAATTGATAACACTTACAGATGAAAAAAAAAATCAACAGAAATGCTAGAATAAATTATTCCTACGATCTGAGCCACGTTGTAAACAATCACTCAGATCAGCTGTTTTATGGCATCACAAGGAGGAGGCATAATTAACTACTAGCTAAAACATCCATCCACCTTGTAACTTGCAGTCGGTCTGGGTGCTGCCGTCTCTCGTTTCCCGGGATGACGTAGACAGGCCCGGTTCGGCTCGGCTCCATCTGTCGCTATGTTCCATCCAGTCCACCGAACAACAGAGGATATCTGATAGTTTTCGCCCCGGGCTGCTGATATGACAGGAGGGAAATAACTACAGTTCAAGGAGTAAAAACATTCACCTGCTAGACAGCGTCACAACGTAACGCAACTTCCGGTTTTATGTTTTCAACATAAAAGCTTTATGCTAGCTGCTACTCGTAACCATTACTGTCCCCAAGTAAAATAGCGAAAAAATTAGGAAAATCGTAGAAATTAATGTAATAAATTACATATAAATACTTTAAATGTCTTTGCAGCTAAATTTTAAGTACGTGTTTTAATGTTTTAGAATAACATCCGCCGTAATTTTCGCTAGCAAACTAGCCTAGCTCGACAGTTCCGGATTACTTCCGCGAACTATACAGACGTCTCTACAGGGGGCGGGGCTAATCCTCACTTTAGTTTTCTCAGAAAGTTTCAGCAATATTTTCACTTCAAATGAAAAGAAAACGGAACATTTAACATCGTCATCAAAAAAGTTTAATAAGTTTTTTATTCCAGCACAGAACATCAAATCTAAATATAAAAAGACAAGAGCAGCAATTCAAAATTTAAAACGTCAATGTTGTGATGTAAAAATAAGTATACAGATTTGAAAAAAGTAAAAAAAAAAAAAAAAAAGAATTCAATAAAACATATTTCCTTCTTGACCATCAACATTCAAACAAAACTGTAAACCTACAATTCACTGCTCAGTAACTCGCTTCAAAATGTAACAAGAATGTTCTCTAATTTCCAGATTCAAAGAGCATCGGGAAAAAGAAACCGAGAGTGAGACTGCATCCCAGTGTGTTCACTAATAAAAAAAATAAATCACAACCACACCTAGTCGATCAGAAGAAAACAAAAGTTAAGGTTTACAACATGTCTTTGGTAACTGGAGTCAAAGAAAAAGCATTTTCAACTAAAATATCCAAACAGATCTTATTGCTAATGTGTTGCTTTTTAGTGCAGTTTTTTTTTGTTTAAATCGGAAAATGAAAGATATCGGAACAAACCACATTCCTCATTTTGCAGCATTTAAACAGGCAGAAAAAGCTGGTAAGAACGTAAAAGAGCCTAAAAGATTTTAGAGTAACATCCTTTAAATTACCTTATGTCTGTTTACGATTACAAACCAGAATCACAGAACAAAATCCGGCCAGAGAAAACACACCCAAAGATAAGAATTTCACAATAAAAGTATACCTCAGTGGGTACATAAAACACTAGTGGCCAGCATGTGGAACAGATTCCCTTCATAAACTCAAAACTTTCAAGAGTTACGCTCAGTTTAACAGCTTTTAACAAAAACGGCTGTCCGTCCAGCTTTTTGGTTTCCCACCTGTGCAGTTAAGAAAAACAGGAATGTAACTAAACTGGCCAAGAACAAAAAAATAAACCTTAACAACAAAGTGCCGGGAGTTCCCAGAATGACTCCACAGGAAACGGCCAAAGTGCTGAATTCAAATGCACAGAAGCTGCAGCGTAAATTACAGTTAAGTATCATGTGCAACATGTTTGGTAAATGCCTAAGACATTTCAGTTTCCAGAGCTGTGGTGCCGTGTTGTTTTTCTGTTTTAAAGGGTGATGCAGCAAAAGCAACACTTAGTTCTTAAAGGCGCCGCAGCGGCTGGCTCTGCTGATGAACTCTTTGAGCATACCTCCGTCTACCTGCCAGAAGGCTGTGGTCTGAGTCACCTGAGTCAGATGGTTCACGCAAAACCTGAAGCAGAACTCTTCAAGGTCCTGTAATTAGAAAAAGCAAGATTAGAAAATAATATTTTCTCTATAGAAGATGACAAAGTGGTAACAGAAGATAATAATAGAGATGAGGATCACGGTATGGCCACTAGGGGTCATTGGAATAACAATGATTAAGGTGGGGTGGGACATGTTTGGAGCATATTTTGCCACAATACTTGAAATGCTCTTTACATGGCAACCGATAAAATAAACGTTATCAATAGATGAAAAATCTGAATTGTCTCTGAAATGTACAATCCTGGAAAAACCTCATCCAGTCGTTGTGAACGTCCCACTCTTAGTGATTTGATCCATCTATCCATCAAACTACCCCCCCCTCACACACACACACACACACACACACACACACACACACACACACACACACACACACACACACACACACACACACACACACACACAAACACACACACACACACACACACACACACACACACACACACACACACACACACACACACACACACACACACACACACACACACACACCTCAATGTGAACGAATCACGTGTTCTCGGCTCAGACAGGAAGTGAAGCCAGAGCCGTGCTAGCCATGTCAGCTAGCATACTAAAGGTTGGTTTACGCTTGACTTATCTGTGAGCTCCGCACCGCCAAATGACGTTATTTTAGAAACCACGCCCCTCAGCGTGGCCCAAGCTTTCAGCACTGCGCACCTAGGAAATTTTTTAACCACTCGGAAGATCCTGCGCGAAAAAAACATAACGGACTGGCAAGAGTCCGAGAATTGAGACAGGGAGCATTGCGCCATCGACCGCAACGCATGCCGGGATGCTGGTCACTGTGATAATTTTTTCAAAAACCTTTATTAACAGCTTTCAAACAATCAACCAAACGGTTATTTGAAAGAAATTTACATTCATTGCTTCTTTGTCTAAAAGTTTCAGAGCATCAACTAATGGTCCTAAAATGAACTACTTTCATTAGAAAATACATATTCCCGCAGCAATGGATTGTGGGTAATACCCACTGAAATGACCGCACGAGACAAAGTTAAGACTTAGCTACCAACAAACCAGCAGGAGCAGTACCTCTGCATCGTATCGTATGGCTGCAGACAGCAGCGTGAAGGCGTTGTCCACAGTGATCCCTCTCTTGATGATCTGCTGACACAGACGCTTCAGCTGATTCTCACAATAAGACGTGGCCAGATCCAGCAAGCCTGCAGCCGACACCCAAACACAAGAATACGATAGAAACATGCTTGAAGAACAAATGAGGGATTTGAAAAGCACAAGCAGGCTAACCGATGGCGTCCTCGGGCGGCAGCTCCACGGTGTCGGTGTAGAGGAACTGTAGGAAGGATCTGTAGACGGGGTAGGAGAACTGTCCGATCTCTATCACGTCCTGCTGACCCTCCGACCACTGGGAGCGAAACATTGAGCGGAAGTGCTCACATCTACTCGCACACAAAACAAACAAACCCACACTTTGATTTAAAGAAGGAAAAACAAACTAATTTTTACTTGTTACACCTGAAAAAAACAAGCCCACCTGATCTTCAGCACTGCTTTATGAACATGGATGCATTTGCCATCGACGCTGAACTTTAGGTCGGACGTTTCTGGACTGTCAAACTCCTTCCTGAGAGCCTCTGAAGCCGTCATGAAGTCATCGTGCTCTGGAACGAAACAACACAGTTCAGCGCGTCGCGTCTTTTTGCTGCACTTATTTGTCGCGCACTAAACAGTGAGTCTCACCCACGGACAAGAGGCGCCACATCACAGAGGGAGTGGCAAAGCAGGCGAAAACATCGTCGGTGGCGGTGAAGTGCGTCAGGTGGGGCAGGACCATGGACTGTCCTCGACACTGACCCCACATAAACACCTGAAAGATTTGATCAGCGTCAACAATTCAGAGCTAAAAACAGAAAAACCTGTCATAAACGAGAAGTGAGCCTCTTCCTATCGTATCTTCTCTCAGAGAGACCTCACAAGTGTATTGCGGAGGATGTTTCGGAATTTCAGGAAAGAACCGCCCTCTCCACGTTCAGAAAAAATGCACGCTCTGTTTACAAGTAGCTGCCGGTGTTATGTAGATTTGAGCACCCTCCTCGAGATCTGTTTCATCCACTCACAAGAAATGTGAGTCCAAACCGTAGCCCATAAAAATCACGCTGCACTGAGTAGTTCCATAACCTATACTCACGCCAAACATTCATTTTTGGTGGTTATGATTAGGGATGTCCCGTTCCGATACCGATATCGGTCCAAAAACACAGTATCGGATTATTTCGGACTGCATCAAAAATCTCCGACATTAGCAGTGCGTTACATTTGTAGCGTCATGAATGGCCTCTAATTTGTGACAAAGGTCACATTTTCCCAGCTGGGTCAAGCTGCACAACGCTACACATTCCATTCCAGCAGTTCTACCCAGCAGCGCCCAGATCCAGCATGCAACGTCCACGTAGAACAGTGCGTGCTAGCAAAGCAGCAATGAACAATGTCGGCCATGTGGCTGCATTTTTCGTTAAAGTCAGAAGAAGACAGTTTGGCTCGGTGCAACACTCGTCAAGCACAAGTTTCCCGTGGTGGAACAGAACCGGGGAAGTTTAATACGGATCACAAAACGTTGCACAAGGATTTTGGCAGTGTGTGAACTTTAAACTTTAGACACTCGACTTGTAGCAGTTGGTCAGTGAACATTGTTTTTTAACTCATGTCCCTAACCTCAGCTGTCAGTTTTTATACTTCCTGTGCCTGGCTTTGTTTTCCGTTTGAGTAAAATCACCTGATCAAGTCTTTTATACATTCCACATTATCGAACTAGTAAAAGTATGTATGGTTTGTGCCGATATATCGGACTGGTATCGGGATCGGGCAATATTGAAGGCTGCAACAGCGGTATCGTATCGGAAGTGAAAAAGTTGCATCGTCCCTCATTGTGATTTAGGTTTTTTTTGTGATTTGATGGCTCCAACTCACAGCTGGGCGGAGCAGAAACAGAACTCGACGGGGAAACTCAAATCGACATAACGGCGAACTTTAGCTTTCCGGTCGAGCAGAAAACAGGCAACCTTCGCTTTTGGTGCACGCCATCGTTGAAAATGGTCTCCTTTAAAAACTCTGCTCTTACTTCTAACTGCTGAGGCCTTTCTCTTCTTATCGTAGACTTCAAAGACACTTTTCTCTTGCGACTCTCGGCCATTTTCAAAAGAACCCGGTGAGAACGGCGAGGAATGATGGCTACCGCTCTAGAATGTGCAGGAAGTGAAAACTAACCCAGGAACAAGCACGTACGACGACGGTCCCACGAGAGCTTCACCAGAACGATCGACAGTTTTACGGACCAACGGTTCAGATGATCCACCGAGAAGTAAAAGATCCTCCGCAACACCTTTAAAAATTCTTGTTACAATTAAGCGTAGCTCCATGAAACTTATAAGAGTAGGAAATGTGGTAAACGACAAAAATACCTTGCCGCTTTGAGTCTTAGCTGCTGAGGTGTGTGTAGAGTGGCAGGCAGCAACTTCTACAACCCTGTTGGATTAGAGACGAGTTAATAAAGAATGTAGAAAAACAGCAACGACCACTATTCTTAGCCACTGATTGTGCTTTTATACAGAGAAGTTAAACGACAGAGGGTGGAAACGAAGAAAGGAAGCAGGAAGGGTCTGAACTCCGCCTACCACTAAACAACACAACAAGGCGTCCTCTCCACCGTACCTCTCTTTGTCGACCATGATTTGAACAGGACTGAGGTGGTTGCTCTTGTTTCTAGTTCCCAGCTGGCCGTAAGTGTTTGCTCCCCAGGCGTACAGCAGCCCTTCGTCTGTTAGCGCCAGGCAGTGAGCGTAGCCTGCAACAACCTGGAGGACAGAGCGGACGTAGACACACACGTGCATAATGTGTTTCTGTTCACGGTGATGCTTACCTGTTGAATGCACACCCCCTGGAGTGTAGCCAGGCGGCAAGGACACAGCTGGTTTCCATTATTCCCAATACCCAGCTGCCCGTTCCCGTTGTAGCCCCATCCATAAACCTGAACAAGAGATGAAACAATCCTGTTTTCTTGCTGCACCCTTATTCTCAAGGAGAAACAAAACATTAAATTGAAACCTTCACCTCTCCGTTGTCGATTAAAGCCAAGGAGGACGTCTGTCCACACGTGATTCCCACTGCAGCCTTCCCCTGGAGGCAGCCAGTGACCTTCCTGGGGTACGGCTGGTTGGTTGTGGAGCCAGAACCCACCTGGCCACAGTTATTATAACCCCACGCAAACACCTACAGGGAGGGAGGACGTTCACTTGCTGCGTATCAGTACGGTAGTCGTTTACCCTAAAACGATAGCTGGAGTGCTCAGAACTTCTTACCTCTCCATCCTGAGTGAGGGCCAGAGAATGATGCGAGCCACACGCCACCTCGGTCACTTTCTTACTCTGCAGGTTGTTGGTGATCAGCGCCGGCGACAGGCCTGCGCTGGTCGTGTTGTTCCCCAGCTGGCTGTAAACGTTGTGCCCCCAAGCGAACAACTGGCCATCTTTGATAAAGAAAGGGAACATTTTAACAGTTGGTCCTCAACTTGTGCTTCAAGCTAGACGTGGCAGGGAGGAACAGTAACACACTTCCTGTAATTAGTTGTATTCCAGTAAAAACACAACAAACTAGCTTGGGTCTATTTTTCTAAATTCAGGGTTAAACCAAACAAAGTGTTGGAATGGCGGATCACTGAAGTGATCCCAGATCCAAATACAGAAGATTCCCACATAAAGAGCCCTAAGCAGTTTCACCATTAACATTTGAAAATGCGCCATAATTTGCAAAGCAAAAAGTTTTAATTTTTTTTTATTTTGAGAAAGGAAACCTCTAAAGGTAAAACAATGTATGTCAACATTAGGCCCCTCCCCTTATTTCATGACTGAAAGCGATGCAGATGGACGGCTCACTTGTGTCCTGGATTGTGGATTACCTCACAGAGATAGGATACAGTGGTCTCCAACGTGGGGGTCCCACAAGGAGCCGTTCTCTCCACCTTCCTCTTCACCCTAACCACTGACTGCACCTACTGTAGTGAAACTTGCCACCTTCAGAGGTTTTCTGGTGACTCTGCAGTGGTTGGTTGTGTTACTGGGGATGAGGAGACGGGAGTATCGGGCAGCGGGGGACTCTGGTCACATGATGTGAGCAGAACCAGCTGTGGCTGAACGTGACAAAGACTATAATGACCCACACTTGTAGAGCGCCTTTCAGAGTCAGCGGACTCTGAAGTGATTTACACTACAGTGCATTATTCATCCATTCACACACATTCACACACGGACTACGACACTCACCACAAGATCACTATGGTGGTGGGCCCCATATGGAACATATGTGGGCAAGCTGGACGGGTCCCAGCAGGGTTTGTCTGCAGTTTCCACAGTGGCCCCACGGGGGTTTACTCGCAAAGACTCTAAACCGCCTGAAAACCCATGTATGGCCCGTTATGCCATCCATGGCAATCCCTTGTGGGGCCACCATGGAAACCGTGGACAAACCCGGCTGGGACCCATCCAGCTTGTCTATATATATTCCATATGGGGCCCACATATGTATGCTGGTTGAGCAGTGACGTTGGTTTGAATCCCTGGGGTTGCAGCGGACATAGTGGAGGATTACACATACCTGCGAGTGCACACTGACAATAAACTAACCGGGCAAGCCCCCTTATATATGTGAATATATACAGGGTATCTGCAGGGTTAAGGGAGCCAAATTTAAGACTTTTTAAGACATTTTTAAGGCCACTTTGACCAAATTTAAGCTATTTTTAAAAATTTAATTTAAGCTATAATTTTCAGCTATTGCCTGGAACCGGTGCTAACCACGTCGCAAACGTGAGATTACCCACCCAGTTACCATTAAACTTGCACTTCCCCATGGCACAAGCTCCCACTAGCTTAACCAGCTAATGTGCTCATCTAAAAATAGCCCTCTTTCACAACCAACTGAATGTGTACGGTTCCGCTTATGCCAACATCATACACAAAAAATGCTGAACACTAGAAATTCTTGTTCATTGGGTCTGTGGTAATTTAAGACCTTTGGAAACTGTTTTAAGTATTATTTGTCATTTTTAAGGATTTTTAAGGCCTTAAATTTAGAAAAGCAAATTTAAGACTTTTTAAGGACCCACGGATACCCTGTATATAGTATGGCCACATCACAATGACAGCTGCTATTGGGTGGGATCTATGGTTGTCATTAAAACCGTCTCCACATGCCATTGGACGGAGAAAAACGGGACATACACACTGCTATGAATGTCAGTCAACAGGGCCGTCTACCATACTCTGTTAAAGAAAATGCATTAAGCACCTCTATCTGCTCTTGACTCGAAGAAAAGTCCAAGTCCAAGGTTGATGCCAAAGCCATTTCAAATGAGCCGCTGCCATCTTAGTTTCACTCAGCCGCAGTAACATCCCACCGTTAGCGGTACTGTAACTCTCGCATTGGTAGCGGGACTTTTATCTTGTTTACTATTGGTATTATTTCCTTATTTTCTATCCAATTGTCTGGAGCAACTATTTTTCTGGTTTCTATTTATCTATGATTTTTCTTCAGGATTAGTAAAGTATAGAGATGGACAATTTATCGGCATCAATATCGGTATTGGCCGATGTTAGTCATTTAACATATCGGTATCTGTCCGATAAATAAAACCGGGCCAATATTTTTTCCATCTTGTCTCTATTTGTTTGCCTGTTTCAGAGGGTGGTGGTGGGGTGGGGGGGATTGCTTAGTCATGTGAACATAAGCATAAATATGTGTGGTGTGTGTACATAATAATGTAAATTTGGCTATAATTTTCATTTTATACAAAATTGCTGATTTTAGAAGCATTAATGTCAGTTTATCTGTATCGGCAAATATTGATTATCGGCCATAACAGTGATCTTCATATCGGATATCGGCCCAAAAGTTTCCTATCGGTGCATCACTAGTAAAGTATTCTGACTCTGCTTACAGTTGGAAGCAACATCTGTCGTCCGTTAACGAGCACCTCTAGCCAGCCAACAGAATTAAAACACAATTATTACTCTCGCGTTATGCTGTTTATTCATTTATAGATATTTTAAGACAGTTGACCATATGAAATGTCACCAACTCTGCCTCAGTCTAGATACGTCCATAAACATGCGCACACTTTGTGATTGACCTCTGTACGGAAGCTGATGTCTAACGCTATTGGCTAATGCCGAGTAGCACTCAGTTATATTACATGTTTTTTTTTAATGGATTTCTAAAATAATCCTGAAGGTGAAAACTCAGATTGCTGCTTTCATGTAAAGGTGAGTAACAGTAAATCCATTCCACAGCTGGTATGAGCGATGACCTGCCTTCGGTAGCCAACAGGACGTGGGGTCCACTGCCGTAGCTCAGACTGACCACCTTCTTTCCTTGCAGAAAATCCAGTTTTTTTGGTACAATGGTGCTCACACTGTCTCCTGTCCCAAGGCAGCCACTGCAGTTCAACCCAAATGCAAATACCTGCCAAATAAATTATACACACATCAACACACACACATAATAATATAACAACAGGCAACTAGAAACTGAAGGCTCATCACACACACCTCATTTGCATGCGTGATGTAGATGGCTTCATTCGCTGATGTTCCAAAGATGTAAACCTGTCGGACTGCAGCTTGTTCCTGAGCACTCAGCACTGACAACAGAGGCCACTTACTGACATCCACCATTGCTCCAGCTAAACCCAGTTTTTCTTGGTCTTGTGGATGATGATGATGAGTTATGGATGACGGGGGAGAGGAGGGGGGAACTGGATAAAGAGGGGAAGGGAGGAAATTAAGAGGAGGTGGTGATGCTGGTGGAGGCGATGAGCAAGGGTCAGAAGAACCATCCCAGCTGACACTTTAAATGAAAGAGCAAACAAATATTGGTTAAAACAGGCGATTTTGGAGAGAAATTTACATTTTCCTCCTTTATACCATCAAATCATCGCACCAAAAACAACACTTGATGAATGCGACAAGCGATTTTGTTTACAAACTATATAAAACACAAAATTCCTTCATAAAAAGGAGCACTTCCTGTCATGGCAGTGAGGGGACGGCAAGCGAAGCAGGACATGCTCCTGTGCGGTTTGAGTTTAAATGACGTCTAATGACATTACAACACGTCACTTTATGTTAAAATCAAAACGAAATACTTAAAATATATGCGCCACAAAAATGTGTAGGGTTTGTCTGGCGTTTTATTTTAAAACAAGTGAACTTTCCTAAATTGTTGAATTTTCTGAGTGAGTCTGGTGAGATGTTCCCTTCACTCGAGTCAGACCAAACACACGAGCATGAACAGCGACAACAAGCAGCTTCGTTTAATTTAAGTCTTCTACTTTAAGCCGAAAGTAAAACTCAATAGTAAATTAGTCTTTCATTCGAGGCAGGAGGTAAAGTTAGCGCAAAACTAACAAAAAGCTGCGAGCTTAGCTTAAACGTTAACTTTGCTTTTCCTACCTACAGCATCGCTGCATAACGAGTCAGCTGTAAACAAACACACAGGCGTTAAAACCGATTCAACAGTCACTCGCTGTCAGGCAAAAACGCGCACTTCTATAAACGACCAGACATTTCACTGAAGAAAACAAAATAAAATCGATTACCCAGTGATGTAAACAAACTACGCTGCCCAACAACAAGCTGCGCGTGCGTTTTCTTCATTGCTCTTAAAACAGAGCCGATTTGGGATTCGTGTAAACCCACCACTGCCCCCTTCAGGCCACAACAAGAATGCGTGGAAAAAAGATTTTAAGTCATTTATTTATTTAAATGCTTCCACGTTGCCTTGTGCTTTGTAGAGATAATCTCTTAAATTTTTGTGAAACTCGTCATTATAACTCTTAACTAGGATGTCCCTCTCCCCCTTTATTCTGCAGCGGGGGGTGGGTGGGTGGGATGGGCGCTAATTCTCATTTTTTGGATCTTACAACGACAGAAGAAGAGCGCTTACGTAAACTGCGTAACAATTGTTCCAGCGGAGATTTGGGGCTTCACGGTTTCTTGTAGCATTTGATTAACATCGCAGTGACTGAAAACTGTAAATTATTTTGAGTACAAAAATATCTGTTGAACTTTCTTACTGATGTGGGTGTTGTTGGACGTTCAAAACGTTTTTTCTTTTTTTTTTTTTTCTCTCCTGCGTCCTTACAGCAGCCTGGACTCACTGCTCGTTTTTATAGGTAGAAAATTCTGTCACCCTGGTGTTAATCCATAACAGTCATATGAGTGTAATAAAACAGTTTAATTTGCTTTATCTACCTCCTAAATATCCTCCTAAAACGGATTATCTGGCCGTGACAGGATCTGTGACACAGTCAAAATGGCGGTGGTGGGAACCTCCCATTTGGGCACAAAAACTTATAATTCAAGCCTGTGGACACGGATTGTCCAGTATATATGTCAATGGTTTAACAGTACAATAGATTCTATTTTATTCTAATAGAATAGAATACTGTAATATTTTATTGTTATACCTGGAAGTACAAACGAGTAAAAACAAGGGTGCTTCCACCACCATGCACACTCAAAAAAGTAATCCTGAGGTTTGGAAAATCCGTATTATGTATCTTCAACAACAGCTTAAAATGGCTCCGGTGACGTTAGTTGTACCCCTGCTCCTGCACACCTGATTAAATGGTTGAATCACCTGTTCAGCAGCTCATCGAGCTCTGCAGAAGCCTGTCAATCAGCACTGATTCAAACCAGAAGTGTTGGAGCAGGAAAACAACTAAAACACGCTGGGTATGTGACTCGAGGGTCTTCAGTCAAGGTTCAAAGGCTGAAAAATCATCTCTGTGCATTGTACATACTATTGTTCACATAACAGGATGCTTGTGAAAGCATAAACATCAAATGCCTTATGAAATCACATTTCCATTAAGAAAATAAAAGCCTTTCTTGACCAACAAAATCTTTATTATTTATACATGGAGCAACCAGTGAAATACCATAAAATCAAGTGATTGAGTGCAGTTCAAAAACACATTTTTAAATTAAAGGACCATCTTGATTTCAGTTACATCTACCAGTGTTATCCGCTGAGGTCTTTATGCAGTTTTCACATAACTTTCCTTTTTTTTTTTACTAAAAATTTCAGGTAAGTTCATAAATTTTTCATGTTATTGCACCAACATGGTGGTGGTCGGAGGGACCGGTGGCGCCTGTGCTCGGCGGCCTCGCCTTTGCCAGTGCACCCCAGGGCAGCTGTGGCTACATCGTAACTCATCCCCACCAGTGTGTGAATGTGTGTGTGAATGGATGAATGATACACTGTAGTGTAAAGCACTTTGGAGTCCTTACTCTGAGAGGCACTATACAAGTGCGGGTCATTTATCATTTATGATTTAACAACAGTTATGAATGCAATCATATTTTTCCGTTATTCAATTAAAGATTTAATTATGTTGAGTGAAAATGTAGTAAGTCGGGCTCGTTCCTAGTGAGAGTTGGACTCCGCCAAGGCTGCCCTTTGTCACAGATTCTGTTCATAACCTTTATGGACAGGATTTCTAGGCGCAGCCAAGGTGTGGAGGGCATCCGTTTTGGTGGCCTGAGGATCAGGTCTCTGCTTTTTGCAGATGATGTGGTCCTGTTGGCTTCATCAGAACGTGATCTTCAGCTTTTGCTGGAGCAGTTCGTAGCCAAGTGTGAAGCAGCTGGGATGAGAATCAGCTCCTCTAAATCTGAGACCATGGTCTTGAGTCAGAAAAGGGTAGAATGCCTTCTCCAGGTCAGGGATGAGGTCCTGCCCCAAGTGGAGGAGTGTAAGTATATCGGGGTCTTGTTCACGAGTGAGGGAAAACTGGAGCGTGAGATCGATAGGCGGATTGGTGCTGCATCTGCAGTGATGCGGGCGTTGTACCGGTCTGTTGTGGTTAAGAGAGAACTGAGTCAGAAGGCGAAGCTCTCGATTTACCGGTCGATGTACGTTCCTACCCTCACCTATGGTCATGAGCTTTGGGTGGTGACCGAAAGAACGAGATTGCGGATACAAGCGGCTGAAATGAGTTTTCTCTGAAGAGTGGCTGGGCTCTCCCTTAGAGATAGGGTGAGAAGCAAGGTTATTCGGGAGGGGTTCGGAGTAGACCCGCTGCTCCTCCACATCGAGAGGAGCCAGTTGAGGTGGCTCGGGCATCTGGTCAGGATGCCTCCTGGATGCCTCCCTGGTGAGGTTGTCCAGGCACGTCCAACCAGGAGGAGACCTAAAGGTAGACCCAGGACACGGTGGAGGGACTATGTCTCTCACCTGGCCAGGGAACGCCTTGGGATTCCCCCGGAGGAGCTGGCCCAAGTGGCTGGGGAGAGGTGAGTCTGGGCCTCTCGCCTTAGGCTACTGCCCCCGCGACCCGACTCCGGATAAGCGGATGAAAATGGATGGATGGATGGATGGATGGATGGAGCGTGAAAATGTTGCATCAAAAATTTTAAATAAATGTCAGTGAAATTTTTTAGAGTGCAAACTAGCAATATTCTTCATTTGATTTATGTGCACTTACTGCAACCTCATGCAGCTGCTGCGCTGGTCCTTGTTGTGGATATCTCCCTGAGCCAACAGATCAACAGATCTGAGAGGATGAAGCTTCCAGTCCACAAATCTGCCTCTCAGAGGAAAATCCTGTCTGGATAATAAATCACCTTTGCTTTATGGGCTTATTTATCTCACAAATACTTTAATCTGCTGTGACCATCCTAACAGCCTCCCAGCTTTTTAATGTTTGTTGTTTAGTTGACGTTTTGCCCTGAGCTCCATCTGCCAGCTCATCCTCTGTGTTGGGACGCTGACGCCGCCACACGGCTAACGGGATTAGTTCCAGAAAGTTCTGTTTTGTAATTAGTTGTTTCTGCCAGCTGAGTTTTAAAAATGCAAATGTCCTGCTCAGACTCAGGCACAGCCTTGGCTGTCACAGGCTGCTGGTGTTCCCAAAAAAATGTTGGCATGACCTTTGTGAACAAACAACTTTAGCTTTAAATGATTTAGTTAAATGTTATGGAAATATAAAATGTCACAGATTACAGCTTTAAGATTAAGGTCGAGGGTTTAATTAGATGATTTTTAGATGTCAACTGGGGCTATGGTTGGATGGTGGAAGGAATACTTTGAGGAGCTCCTCAATCCCACCTACGCGCATTTCGAGGAGAAACCAGAGCCGGGAGACCTGGGGATGGACTGTCCAATCTCGGGGGCAGAAGTTGCTGAGGTAGTCAAACAACTACACAGCGGCGGAGCCCCGGGGGCGGATGAGGTTCGTCCTGGGTATCTCAAGGCTATGGATGTTGTAGGGCTGTCATGGTTGACACGTCTCTGCAACATTGCGTGGTCATCGGGGGCAGTTCCTGTCGAGTGGCAGACCGGGGTGGTGGTCCCCATCTTTAAGAAGGGTGACCTGAGGGTGTGTTCCAACTATAGGGGGGTCACACTCCTCAGCCTCCCTGGAAAGGTCTACTCCAAGGTACTGGTCCGATCGATAGTTGAATCTCAGATTGAGGAGGAGCAATGTGTTTTTCGTCCTGGCTGTGGAACTGTGGATCAGCTCTATACCCTTGCAAGGGTGATGGAGGGGGCATGGGAGTTTGCCCAACCAATCCACATGTGTTTTGTGGATATGGAGAAGGCTTATGATCGTGGCCCCAGGGGCACCCTGTGGGGGACGCTCCAGGAGTATGGGGTGGGTGGCTTTCTGTTAAGGCCCATTCAGTCCCTTTACCAGAGGAGCGTGAGTTTGGTCTGCATAGCCGGTAGTAAGTTGGACCTGTTCCCGGTGAGGGTTGGACTCCGCCAGGGCTGCCCTTTGTCACCGGTTCTGTTCATTACCTTTATGGACAGAATTTCTAGGCGCAGCCGAGGTGTGGAGTGTGTCGAGTTTGGTGACAGGAGAATCTCATCTCTGCTTTTTGCGGATGATGTGGTCCTCCTAGCTTCATCCAGCTCTGACCTTCAACTCTTGCTGGGTAGGTTCGCGGCCGAGTGTGAAGCGGCTGGGATGAGGATCAGCACCTCCAAATCTGAGACCATGGTTCTCGACCGGAAAAGGGTGGCTTGCCAACTCCGGGTCGGGTGAGAGGTCCTAGCTCAAGTGGAGGAGTTTAAGTATCTCGGGGTCTTGTTCACGAGTGAGGGTAGGAGGGATCGGGAGATCGACAGGCGGATTGGTTCAGCGTCTGCAGTGATGCGGACGCTGAACCGATCTGTCGTGGTGAAGAGGGAGCTGAGCCAGAAAGCCAGGCTCTCGATTTACCAGTCGATCTACGTCCCAATCCTCACCTATGGTCATGAGCTTTGGGTAATGACCGAAAGAACAAGATCGCGGATACAAGCGGCCGAAATGAGTTTCCTCCGTAGGGTGGCCGGGCTCAGCCTTAGAGATAGGGTGAGGAGCTCGGACATTCGGGAGGGACTCGGAGTAGAACCGCTGCTTCTCCGGATTGAAAGGAGTCAGTTGAGGTGGTTTGGGCATCTGGTCAGGATGCCTCCTGGATGCCTCCCTGGGGAGGTGTTTCGGGCATGTCCTGCCGGCAGGAGGCCCCCGGGTCGACCCAGGACATGTTGGAGAGGTTACATCTCCAATCTGGTCCGGGAACGTCTTGGGGTCCTGCTGGAGGAGCCGGTGGAGGTGGCCAGGGAGAGGACGGTCTGGAGCTCCCTAGTTGGGATGCTGCCCCCGCGACCCGGACCCGGATAAGCGGAGGAAGATGACGACAACGATTTTTAGAA